ATTGCTTTCTGGGCTGGCATCCATGGGCTCTTAGTGTCTGCATAAGGCCTGATCAGGACCTTCTGGCTTTCATTGTTTCCAATGAGACATCAGGTGTAATTTTGATACCTCTGTCTTTATATGTTACTTGGCCTTTTTCCTTTGAAGCTCTTCGTATACTTTATTTCTTCGGTATGTTTAGTGTTTTGATTACCATGTGGCAAGGGGACTTTTTTGTCCAGTCTATTTCGTGTTCTGTAAGCTTCTCATACTTTCATAGTCATGTCGTTCTTTAGGTTGAGAAAGTTTTCTTCTATAATTTTGTTGAGTATATTTTCTGTGCTTTGAGCTAGAGTTCTCCTACTTCTATCTTCATTATTCTTATATTCAGTCTTTTCATAGTGTCGTAGATTTCCTGGACATTTTGTGGTAAGAATTTGTTGCATTTAACATTTTCTTTGACTGATTAATCTATTTCCTCTATCTTATCTTCAATGCCTGAGATTTTACTATTCCACCTCTTGTATTGTTTGTTATGCTTGCATCTGCAGTTCCTGATCATTTACCCAGATTTTCAATTTCCAGAATTCCCTCTGTTTGTGTTTTCTTTGTTTTTTCTATTTTAGTTTTTAAGTCTTGAGCTGTTTCCTTCTACTGTTTAATTGCTTTTCATTAAGATTTTTAAAATTTCTTCCAATGCTTTGTTTGTTTTTTCCTCCATTTCTTTAAGGTAATTTTTCATTTCCTCTTTAAGGGCCTCAATCATCTTCATGAAGCTATTTTTAAGGTTGTTTTCTTCTGCTTCATCTACGTTGGGATGTTCAGGTCTTGCTGTTGCTGAGTTTCTGGTGGTGCTGTGTTGCTCTTTGTGTTGTTGAACATATGCTTGCAGTGTTGTCCACCCATATCTTCCTCCAATCAGTTCAAGTGGAGCCTGTGCTGCAGGGGTCCCTTTTCTTACAATTGGTGTAGCTGCGGCTTGTGGCCCCATTGATCACTGCTCCAGGTGCAGGCAGGGCCACTGCTCTGGTGATCACTCCTCTATGTGCAGGCAGATCTGAGGCTCCAGTGGTGGCTGATGAGGCTGGGTATCTCATACACAGGATGGCACTGGGTGTTGGCTGCACACAGCTGCTCTTTCCCAGAGGCATTTCTTAAGATCATTTCTGGAAGCCACTGCTGTGGATACCTCCAGACCACTTGCTCAGTCACTGGTGTTCCTTCTCTCCTGGCTTCTGGGCTGCTCTCTTGCTCGGCTGCTGACAATTTCTCTCTCTCTCTCTCTCTCTCTCTCTCTCTCTCTCTTTCTCTCTCTCTCTCTCTCTCTCTCGTTCTTTCTTTTTTGAGACAGGGTCTCACTATGTATTCCTGGCTGGACTCAAATTTATAGAGATCTGGATGCTTCTGCCTTCTGAGAACTAGCATTAAAGTCATCTGCCACCACACTATGCTTTCCCTTATTCCTAACCAACTCCAAATCTGCTCCCTATTGGCTTGTCCTGAAATTCCTGTATGTGCATGTATGAGTATGTACATGTATGGGTATGTGAGTGCATGTTCATGTCAGTGAGTGTCTCTATCTGTATGTGTAAGCCACCTGAGTTAGCAAACTCCTCCACTCCCAATTAGGTGAATTTCTCAGGCTAATTTCAGTGACAGGGTGGATGTTTGGAACCAAACTTCTCTCCATCTTCAAAGACAATATCAGTGAACGAGTTACTTCAGAAACATGAACGATCACATTTGTGTCTTTCCATATGTTAGAATTTATTTTTAGAACAATGAGATCACAAGTTACATCGATTTCACTGGCTTTAATTAATCAAGTAGTCCTGGTTTCACTTGGTAACTGTGGCCACTGGAAGTCACGATTTCATTCTCATTACTATTATGAGCTCTCAAATTACACATTGTGTTACACATACGCTCAAGCAATTTATGTTATAGAGTGTGTGTGTTATGGGATGACTAAGAAAGGGTTAAGGAGGCTGAAGGGCTCCAAGGGGCCCTAGTGATGGCAAGAGTGGAATCTGTGCAGATGGAAAGGGAGACAATGCAGAAAAGTAAGGAGGGCACCAATAGGGACTCCAGACACCAACGTGCTCAGCCCCGAGGCTTTGATGTCACAGCTCCAAGCAGGGATCACTGGGCTCCAACAAATGGCAACTTGAGTGGACCAGGTCAGAGAAGGAAATGATGCTTAGCTGAAACCCCACAGGCAGATCTGGGACTTCCTTGTTTGCCGATCCTCTGGTGGAAGCACACAGTGGCATTTCCTAGTCCAGTGATGTTCACTCCATGTGTCATATGATCCAAGGGATGGGTTTGCCTCATTTGTTGGTTAGGTTTATCTGAATCTTGTACTAAGGCTGGGGAGTTACAGATGCTGAGAAACTCCAGGCAGGCTTGGACTCTGCAGGTTTTTGTGGTAGCTGTTAACCACGTGTACAAACCCCTTCATTTGTAAACTCCTGGCTGGATTTGCTTTCTTTGCTTAAACTTGTATTAGTCAATACAGGGCACTCCATTTTGACTCTCATAACTTACACTTTTACGCTGTCTTCTCTCCTAGATGTCCTTCAAAAGCATCTCAGCCTCTCCCACACATTCAGGCATTGTGTCAAATGCAAATTTTCTTCCTTGGTGGAGCCCAGCAGGGACGGGTAGAGATCTACTTCATTGTACAAATATAGACTTTCCACAGAGTACTAGTCTGAGTCTGGTACTGCCGATATCACCAGGACACGGGACAGGAGACAGACTGATGGGAGAAGAATGTTTTACCGGCGAACATCTTGGGTGATGGTGTGTCAGACTCACTAAGCAATGATTAAAATCAAGCATTTCCCAGGCTTAGCACAACTGACCTTTTGGCCTGTCCTTGGGTAATGGGGCCTTCTTACTGTAGGAAGGTGAGGTGCATCTCTGACAATAATAGCACCTGCACCTGTTTAGAAATGTCTATAGATCCCTCCAGGTTGAAAATATGAAGAATATTGAAAATCTTCCCAGGTTGCATAAATCTCTGGTCTTCTGTTTTGCTCTTAATCTTGTACTAAGGCTGAGGAGTTACAGATGCTGAGAAACTCCAGGCTGGAGGAGGAAAAGGTGCAAATTTGCTCTGACAGACCATATGGCAAGCTCAGTAGGTACTGTAGGCTTGAACAAAGCATTTTCAGATGATCAACCAGTCTACAGGCAGAGCTAAGAAATAGGTTTTCTGTAGCCTGATAGTAGGTTTCTCTGCTGAGGCAGTAAGCCAAATCAAGCTGAACTAAAACAGTAAAAGACCAGGTTTATTTGAGCAAAACAACTCCCAGGTGAGTTCTCCAGTCCCCGAGACTGAGGTGTAAGAGTCCAGTGATGTAACTAAAAGCAGGGGAGTTCTATAGCCTGTAGGTGAGGGTGATGATGTGTCTGCCATAAGCTGGGTTTGTGCCTGGGTAAGGTCAAAACCTGAACACTTTAGGTGTGGGTCCTGGGCAGCTGGCAGCTTAGGGGAGGAGCTGCCACAGTCACCGAGAATGGGGACCTGGGCGTTTTGATGACTTTTCTTTGTTGGAGATTCTCTGAGGCGGGAGAATTTGGTGGTGGTGGGGTTCTCAGACCAGGCAGAAGTGAGCTGGAGGTTCCATCCCGAACACTAAGTAGTGTCTACTCAATGGTTGCAAATGTAACAGACATAAAGTGAAGACATCAGGCCTTTTACCCCATTCTAGTTACCTACCAGGTAGCTGTGTAGGGCCTGGGAAAGAGTCAGTGTTTTTCAGAAAAGTCTCAAGTTTCTGTAAAGTAAGTAGGGTAACCTTTACTGTAGTGTAGTCTTCCTTGCTAGTTGCCTGGGCTCTGCTGCACTGTCTGAACCTCCAAATAACACACAGCACACTATATAAATCATAAATCTGTTGGCCGTTTACTTGTTTCTTACTGCCTATCTCTGACTTAAGTATTTAACCCATAATTGTTAATCTAAGTATTTCTCTTACTGGAGAAAAGGCTCCAGACCTCTTACTCTGGTGGTCTGCATGGTATCTGACTGTGTCTCTCTTTCCCAGGATCCTCCTCAGCTCATAGCCCCACCTATCTTGCCTCCTATTAGCCAACAGCGCTTTATTCAACAACCAATAGGAGAGACAGATTTACAGAATGGCATCTTCCATCACAGTATATGTCAAAGGTGTTATTTTAGGTCAAACCTGGTGGGAATACAATAATGTATTGTTTAGTGGCATGACCTTGAGAGAACAGTGTGATATGCTCTGATAAACTATCTGACAGTGCAATAGATTGTGGACAATGACTCAGGGCTTCTAGGGAATAGGTCCTTACTCTCACTTCTAGGGGATAGGTCCTTACTCTCACTTCTAGGAGACAGACAGGTCCTTACTCTCACTTCTAGGAGATAGATAGGTCTTTATTTTCACTTCTAGGGGACAGACAGGTCCTTACTCTCACTTCTAGGGGATAGGTCCTTACTCTCACTTCTTCTTTGTTTACCATCTGGGCAGCCATGTGAATTCACCCTGGTTTCATCTCAGTTTAGTCATAATGAACCCATAGAGAGTAAACATTCTGGCCCCAGAACTTAATCTGTTGTTTTGTTTTGTTTGTGAGAGAGAGACAGAGACAGAGAGAGCGACACACAGAGAGAGAGATAGAGAGACAGAGTCAGAGGGAGACACAGAGACAGAGAGTCAGAGACACAGAGAGAGACACACAGAGAGAAAAACAGAGAGAGACACACAGAGAGACAGAGACAGAGAGAGAGAGAGAAAAAGAGACAGAGACAGAGAGAGAGAGAATGCTTTTGACAGCATGTTTCTACTAGGTTACTAGTTAAAGCCTCACAGCTTTGGTTTGGTGTTTTTCTTTTCTTTTCTTTCCTTTTTTTTTTTTGTGCTTTTGCTGGGTTCCCTATCTGTCTCAGCTTGTCTTAACTTCTCACAAAAGCTTAAAGTCAGAAACGCCTATAACTCATTCTATTTTTTTTTTTTTTGGTCAATCGATTTGACCTTCTGCCAATTGCTTTGTTCTTCGGGGTCTGTCATGTTTCCATGGTCCTTTGGACTGAAGAATGGTACTTTCCCAAGCAAGTGCATGCGCTGTGGCTCTTCTGCAGTGGTGAACTGGGAATAAGTGCTGTGTTGTCCTCTGTGACAAAAGCTTGAGTCAACAAGAAGTAAGTACTGATGGAGCTGTGTACTTGGCTGCAGATGGAAAGAGCCTTTAACGTGTGGATCTGAGACAAGAGGACTGTGAAATCAAGGCCAGCCTGGATGACACAGCAAAAATCCGTCTCAAACAAAACCAAGTGGACTTTTCACATAAAACGCGAGCTACAGATGTGTGGCCCAGTTTCATAGTTGGTCCAAGTGGAGAGCATGAATGCAGTTGATGACCCTTATGATGGTTCTTAGTTTTCAAATAAAACACAGCTTTCCTGAAAGATACAGAGCATATTAGAAGGAGGGCTATGTGGGAAGCAGACTGTTTTGAGTTAAGTCTAAGGTAGGATGGGAAGGGGAAATACCATTACAACAGAATTGGAGGATTGTACTTTGCATTTATTGGAATCACTCTTTCTAACTCAGCCAAACTGCTTTCATAACACAGCTTATTTAGGAATAGACTTTCTTCCCTGTTTTACCTGTCGTCTAAACCAGGAAATTGCAAACGGCTTAAATTAAAATGTTGCTTCATTCTGCTTTTTTTAAGCCCAGGTCTTTCGATTATGTTTCAGATCATGCCTGTTGTCTCTGGTGACTGTTAACTCCCAGCACCACCCTCTGTGTGTCTAACAACTTTTAATTTAAGGACACAGCAAACGTGCTCTCTTACTGTCTGGGTTTTTTATTCCAAGCCATGGGCATCCTTCCTGTGAGTTCAAGCTGCAGTAGGGCTGCCACCCAGCCTGTAGCCCTGTTTTCAGAGGTGTTAAGCTGTGAGGAAATGTGGCTCTCTGAATGGATATGCTATGGTAGCAGGGTTAGGAGAGTCTAGGCCAGACTGCAGTCGGAAAACAGCTCTGCCCGTTTAAAGTGTACTGATTTTGAGGTAGTCTCTGACCTTGTCTTAGGTTCTTAATGCTGTCAAAAGACACCAAGACCCCGGAAGCTCTTTCGTTGTTGTTGTTTTGTTTTGTTTTTGTTTTCTTGAGACAGGGTTTCTGTGTGTGGCTTTGCAGCCTATCCTGAACTCGCTCAGTAGACCAGGCTGGCCCCTAACTCACAGGATTCCCCTGCTTCTGCTTGCCAAGGACTGGGGTAAACGACTTGTACCACCACCTTCTGGCCCAACCATGGTAACTCTTATAAAGGAAAATTCTAATTGCAGTGGCTCATTTACCTTCCAGAGGTTCTGTCTATCTTGTCGGGGACCATGGCAACAATGTAGGCAGGCATGTTGCTGGAGAAAAAGCAGAGTGTCCTACATTTTTCAGGGAACAGGATGTAGACAGACTGTCACACCAAGAGAAGCTTGAGCAAAAGACCTCAAAGCCCACCCCCACAGTGACACACTTCCTTTTAAAAAAATTATTCATTTTATATACCAACCACAGTTCCCTCTCCCTCCCCTCCTCCCCTTTCCCATCCCTCTTCTCCAACCAACTCTCATCCATTCCTCAGAAAGGGTAAGGCCCCCACAGGGAGTCAACAAAGCCTGGCACATTCAGTTGAGGAAAGACCAAATAACCGCCCTTCCCCCCCACCAGCCCCTCATCAAGGCTGAGCAAGACGGTCCATCACATGGAATGCTCTTCAAAAAGCCAGCTCATGCTCGATGGCACACTTCCAGCAGAAGGTGTGGCCCAGATTAAAGGTGTGCCCTACAGCCTCAAGGTCTGTGTCAAAGGCTTGTGTCATCCAGCCTCCTCCAGCAGGCCACACTTCCTCCAACAAGGCCACACCTCTTAAGTACCACTCCCTTTGAGCTTATGGGGGCCAAATATGTTCAAATACTAAGACCTCTAAGTTTCTCATTCATGAGATGATACTATTGATAGCACTCAGTTCTCAGGAATAGATTTTTTTACAGGTGAATACTCAACTAGACTGTCTCTCTCTCTCTCTGTGTCTTTGGTTTTATGAGACAGGGTTTCTCTGTGTTGTTTTGGAGGCTGTCAGACCAGCCTGGCCTCGAACTCACAGAGATCCCCCAGCCTCTGCCTCCCGAGTGCTGGGATCAAAGGCGTGTGCCACCACCGCCCGGCTAGATTATCTCTTAACATACTGTTCTGAAGCATTTTGATGTAATAATGTATTTTGAACATGTTTTTAGACAGTGTGGTGAAACATTATTTATGATTTATATACATTTCTGAAGCATCGGAATGCAAAGCCAGCCACATTAGTTAACTGTAGAAGATGTGTGGTGGTGGTACACACCTTTAATCCCAGGACTCAGGAGACAGAGGTAGATAGATCTCTATTAGTTCAAGGTCACACTGAGCTACATAAAATTGATCCAGTCTAGAAGAGAAAGAGCTCACACAGAGGCGATCCCAGCACTTGGGATCCCAGAACTTTAATCCCAGCATTTGAGAGATAATGAGAGGAAGAAGCAAAGGGTCTCAGGGGAGAATTCGTCTCCAGCCAGGTTGAGCAGAGTCCTTTGTAAAGGCTGACAGTCGAGGAGGGATGGGGTGACTCTGAACGTCTTAGCATTGGCGAATCTCCAAGTGGCCAGCACATGATAAGAGGGATCATAGATTTCCCGTTTTAAGCTCCGATCTCTGTGGGGGCGGGGCATCTCCGGGCTAGGAGGCGCGGTCTGGGCGGGGCTGAGCACAGGCACTTAAGGCAAGAGGAAGCCACATGCTTCCTGAGTCGCCCACAAACTAGAGCCCAACTCTAGTGTCTCTCGGCTTGCACAAGTCAACCATGTCTGGGGCATCTTCCAAGAGCCTGGGGAAAGGTGAGACTGTCCGTGGCGGGCTGGTTCCGGGGACCGGGGATGCCCTGATGTCCCGGATCTCCCTGCGATCTGGGCCTTGAGTGTCTCCTGTCTCCTGCAGGAAGCTCGCCTCCGGGTCCGGTGCAGGAGGGCCTGATTCGCGTCTACAGCATGAGGTTCTGCCCTTTTGCCCAGAGGGCTCTGATGGTCCTGAAGGCCAAGGGAATCAGGTGAGGACGAGGAGATGACTCCCTGGCTACCCAGAGCTGGTGGCAGGGCTGTCCAGACCCTCAGAGCATCGGTTTTTGTGTTAGGTGAAATAGTCTCAGCCTTTTGTAGGAGCCTTAAGTTCCACACCCTCTTTTCAAGGGGAGAATGTGGGGGACTCCAGGGTCCTTAGGCAGCCTGTTTAAACATCCCGTGTCTTGGATGATAACCGGTTTCTTCTGTACAGTTAGTGATTTGCACAAGATCGGTGAACACTGAAGAACTTGTCTCTGCTCTGGTCCCGGAATTCTTGATCTATCTACTGAGCTTTCTTTCACCTAGAGGCAAAGGTCAGATGATTTGACTCAGCAAAGTTCTGAGTCAGCTTTTGTGTGCATAGCAGAGTGGCTTGGGCTCTTGGAAAATATAAGGGAAATTGTGCTTCTTAAAGTCTCTTTGCAAAGCCTTGTTATTGGTTCTATTAGTCATTGACCTACAGGTTATCTACAATTTGGCTTTTCTCTGAGAATAATTATTAAGCACCTGCTGTTTGGAAGACCACTCTCAATAGAATTTTCATGTATACAGTTAAAGTTTGTAAACTAATTTTAGTCCATGGTGAGGATTGGCTAGGCAGGTAGTTCTTTTCCCTAAATGTTAAGATGTATCCTAAAGCAGAATTTTAAAAATTAACTATCACTTCATAACAATGTTGATATCATTTAGCTGAGGGAGAGTGATTTTGAACACATAAGAAACATTTTTGCTAGTATTTATCTGGAGTAAATTTTTCTGCATTACACAGAATTTTTATTATCACTAAGAAACTCAAACTGAATTGAAAAATAAAGGTATTTACTGTCCTCATGCAATGGGAAAGGCCAAGATCAGGGCACAGCTGGATTCAGGGACACAATGCCTTGTGGTATGTGTTTTCCCCTGCAACTCTGGGCAGAAAGAATCACATTTCTCACCAGAAGTTTTCTAAAGCAATGCTGAAATTATTTTACCGTAACAGTGTGCAGAGAGGCTCTTATTAGGGGAGGTGGGGCCTTCAGATATACATGTAACTGCTCTGCTGTGTTCACAGTTGGATTTCAAACCCTGGGAAACTTTTAGTGGAGCAGTAACATCTTACACGGGCCATATTTGTTGCATGTTCTCTGTAAAGGGCATCCTTCACCCGTAGATGCAGGTGTGGGCTGCCAGCTCATTCATGTGTGTTCTTGGTCCTGAAAGCCTAGGACCTACCTTTGATTTTCAAAGTATATTTCCCAGACATGAGCAGTATTCTATGGCAGTGGGCATTGTTTTTCCCTTAACAACTGGTCTGTAAGTTATTATTCTGTCAGTACTCAAACCTTTTAACACACACACACACACACACACACACACGCGAATCTTTTTACACGCATGCACAAACAAATGCCAGAGCGTACTTCAGTGTTCACACTGGTTATTTGTTTTTATGAACGATTATGAAGTTAAGTCCATGAAATAAATGTCTGTTATACGTGAGAACACAGGAAATCGGAGGTGTTGCAATGTCTTTGAGTGATCAGTCCGACTGGACAGTGCTCCAGATTTGAGGTTTACAGGCTTTGCTTTAAGGGTTATAACACTTTTTTTCTCTGCAAGATACAGATGTACACAATGACAATCAGAATTAGCCTGGCTCCTGTGGCTTCTTTTTTCTGTATTTTAAAAGTTATTTTATTTGTGTGTGTGTGAGCTGAGGTGTGCCATGTGCTTGCAGGATCCCATAGCACAAACGATGGCATTGGATCCCCAGAAACTGGGGTTAGGACTGTTATAAACCCCGACTGACTTGGGACCAGGGAACTGAATCAAAATCTCCTGCAAGTGCAGCAAGTGCCCTTAACCACTGGGCCCTCTCTCCAGCCCCATACTTTTTAAGATCCTTTTGGAAAAAATCATAGGAATACATGTGGACCTAATTGATTCACTTTATGAGATTTTTAGGATTTTTTAAAAATACAATTGCAAGGATCTCAAAATTCATATTAGCAAAATGAATTGTTGAATCAAAATGAAAATGAGCTTTTGTTAGGCTGATTCTAATATTCTGAGTGGGTATGAGCACAGTTCGATAGTTGCCTCCTATCAGGGTCCAGAAGATTCCAGTACATCCATGTCCGTTGCAGCCCTGCTCACAACAGTGTGATGCTGATGGCCGTGGACAGAGGACCAGACACAGAGAAGGTGCTGTAGATTTAAGTTTTGTCCCATTTGTCTTTCTTGAGACAGGGTTTTTATGTATAGCTTTGGAGCCTGCCCTGGAACTCACTCTGTAGACTAGGCTGGTCTCTAACTCACAGAGGTTCACCTGGCTTTGCTGGGATTAAAGGCATGGGCCACCACCACCCAGTGCCTTGACTTTAAATAGAAGGAAAGTCTACACTGTGTGACAAAGATGGATCCTGGGGACCTTAAGTGAAATAAGTGAGCGCTGTCTGATTCACTTTCTGAGGGCCTTGGAAACAAGTTCTTAAACTGAAAATTGAGCAGGGTGAAGACAGAGGCAGAACTCTCTCCCTGAATCCCCACCTTGTCAGCCAAGGAGACAGGAGAACCAGGCTACACTAACTTGGGAAAACAGACTGTGCCTTGCTCTTGTCAATTTCCCTGTGTCTTTCAGGCATGAAATCATCAATATCAACCTGAAAAACAAGCCCGAGTGGTTCCTCAAGAAGAACCCGGCTGGGCTGGTGCCAGTTCTGGAGGACAGTAAGGGTCGCCTGATCTCCGAGTCTGTCATCATCTGTGAGTACCTGGATGAGGCGTACCCAGGGAAGAAGTTGTTCCCAGATGACCCTTACGAGAAAGCTTGCCAGAAGATGATCTTAGAGTCATTCTCCAAGGTGTGTGTAAGAAAGTCCAGCTCATGCTTGTTTTAAGCTAAATCAGCAGTGCCTGTGCGATGGTTCAGGGGCTGGGGACATGGACGGGGACTCTACTCCATTGCTATGCCCTGCCAGACCCTCATGCTCTGTCCCTGCTTGGCTTTCCCTCTTGGCTTTATCCTACTCCACTCCTGATGATGTTTCCTGTCTTGCCATAGGTCCCCTCTTCTCTCCCAGCTTTTCCCGGGAGTCTTCTCCCTTCTTTCACTTGGTTTAGGCAGCTTTGATATATGTGCTTGGACCTGCTGCCTTCTAGAAACAGGGTTGGGCTGCTCAGGACTCCAGCTGTGTTCTGGATAAGCTTTTCCTCACCATGGCTGTTGGCCCTCTGTGTTCATACCTGCCTGCCTTCCTGTCCTTGTTGCTCTGCGAACCTGTGCTTCATGAGGAGAGGAGGGCTGTGTGTCCATCACTGATCAGTAGTGCCTGGGTGTATAACTTGCTTAGAAAACATTCAGTGTGCTTTGGGATAGATTTCTTGCTTGACCTCTAGTGTGTTAGGTCACGTGCAAATGGTCCAATGGGAAGTACCCAGAACTAACTGATACATGGTACCTACCCAGCATTAACTCTTAAGTGCCATTACCGGTCTTTAGCAGTGACAATCCACTGAGGTTTCTGAGGTAGAATGTGCTTGCATCTTATTTATGGTGAGTGAATTAATTCAAATTAGTATTAGCAGAGATGACCAACATTGATGGGATTTCATGAGACTCTGAGTGATCTTTCTCCATCTTGAAGATTAATTATCATACTCACAACTCCAAACACAATCATTAACAGGATGGACACCACAGCCATCAAGTCTTCAGGAGATCAAGCCTCCTTTGGACAGCCTTTTGCAGTTCAAAGTAGAACTCAGAAAACTGCTCATCCCCAGCTCCCTTTGCAGCTGGGGCTATGTCCTGTTTCCTAGACCATCCTATTAGATGCACACAGTAACTTGCAACTTAGGTGAGGGCAGTGTCAACAAACAGGCCTAGTGTGGATATCTGGTGCCAGCAACACAGGTGGCAGAGCTTCTGGTTATGGGGTGGTGGTGGCTGCAAGATTGAATTCTAGGGAAGCAGTGCTGTTTCTAGTTGTCCCAGTGTTCATCAGTACAAATTCCCATTAGTGGCCATTAGCACAGGCAGCAGCTGGGAGCTTTGGTTAGTCTAGTTCTCCATGTCATATTAGAAAGTTCCCATAGTTCCAGGCCCATTGGTCCAGTTCTAAGCCACTTGCTGTCTGTTTATGAAATTTCTGGCTCAAATTTTCCAGAGTGGGTTCCATTGTCTGCAAATCACAAACTCTGCACATTCTCAAATCCTAGTCCACAAGAAGGTTTGTAAGATCAGGCTGTGGTTTCTGTAAACACTGGGACTTGGTCCACACTTGTCTCTACAGCATTCTGGAGGGGTACCAGGACTATGAGGGCTCTGTTATGTTTGTGTGTGTGCAGGGGGCCAGGAGAATAAGGGATCTTGTGTGTGTGTGTGTGTGTGTGTGTGTGTGTGTGTGTGTTGTGGTGTGGGGGTGGGGGGAGTGCACTATCCTCACACTCATAAACTAAAACCTCATTTTCTGACCAGGTGCCACCTTTGGTTGGAAGGGCTATTAGGGGGAAGAAGGAAGACCAACCTGACATAAGGGAAGAACTCAGGAAGGAGCTCCGCAAGCTGGAGGAGGTGATCACACTCTTACCTTCATCACAGTAGATGATAACTCTGTTTGCATCCCTTCTCTTTCCATCCTCCTTCACAGGCTCCCTCTCCAAATCGCTTTCTGACAATTAGAAATAGCACCAACTAAAAACAAATCACAATGGATTTCTGTAAGCTGTTCAACTCCTGCAGAGTCAAAACACGTAAAAGTGCCTTCATGACTTGTTATTTTTATTTAGGTGTCATTGTATCCCAGGCTAGCCTCAAACCCACTATGCAGCCCTTACTGGCCTTAAACTCATGATCCTCCTGCCTCATCCAACTCAGTGCTAGTGTTACAGGCATGCATGACCACACATGGTTTAGAGGCTGGAGGTATTAACTACATCAGCATGAAAGTAACAATGAAAAAATACTACCGATATTTCCACAGTAAGTCACTGCTTCCAGTCTATGTTGATATATTCAAAGTAATAGTTGTTATCAGACACCGGTGCCAATGCACTGCTTTTCGCTCTGAGGATGTAATAAACGCTTCCCACTGTGAAGTCTAACAGACATGAAGACATGCAGGGAAGCCTGGATTTCTTTCCTTTGGGGAGAGCTGTCCTTTGGGCCTTCAGATAAAACTTTCATCGTGGTTTTGATGCATGGATGGAGATACACACTAGCATTTTATCACTGAGCATGGAGTTCGTTCTAGTTTTTTTTCTGAAGTTTTTCACCATATCCTGTTACTAATTTGCTATTTTTAAGACTTTTTTTGCTGCTTTTCATTATGGGTATGTGAGGATACAGTGCAGTGCATAGGTATTGGATCCCCTGAACGGGGAGTTACAGGTGCTGTGAGCCACCTGACATAGGTGCTGGGAAGGAAACTTCAGTTCTCTAGAAAAGTCCTCCATGCCTGTAACCTCTGAGCCATCTCTGCAGCCCTAATCTAATTCTTACCTTGTGAGTACTGAATGTTTTGTCTGTTACATCTATAGAAATGTCCACAGAACCCATTTCCTTTAACCTGATACTTGTGGGCTGTAAACACCCACGCTTACTTCCTAGGACAAGGTTACCTGATGTAGCCTCGAGGAACTAAACTGGCCTTGGAGAGTCCACAGAAAAACTTTAGCTGTGACAGTTTTTATTGATCAATCAGACTTATCATATCTTTATCGGGAACAGAATATATGGGAACTGCTGGGACTAATACAGCTGTAGTTGCTGGGATACAATGATGTTTACAAGCTACACAGGTTATGCAAGATAAATGTCTTAGGAATTTTTATCCTGTGAAATGTAACAGTCTGGGTGACACAGAATTAAATGTGGTTCAGCAGACTCAGGAGCCGGTGTTGGTTCAAACTTCTGGGTCTGACACCAGGCAGTCTACTTTAGGCATATTTAAGTACACTACAGGTGTCTGTGCACAGAGGCACAGTTACATGGAATCTCTGCTCCAAGTGCATGTCCACGAGATGGGCTGTAGATAGGGGACTTGTGTTATTTTACAGGCCTGGGGGAGGATCTGGTGTGGTCTTGGTCACACAGATAGTGTAGAGGTCATCTGGGCTAACAGCCACCTCCGGTCCTGGTTGTGGGAGCCTGGGGGAGCCCTTGGCTACACAGATAACACAAAGGTCACCTCGACCATGAGCCACTTCCAGTTATGGTTGTGGGAGCTTTTGGGGAGCCAGGTATGGCTTGGCCCTACAGATAGCGGGGGCAAGCAAGGGTGTGAGACACCTGCACCCCTAGCCTGTTTAGTATTCCTGCTCCCTTAGTGCTGTCTGTGAGCACAAGGACCTTTATCCTCCCAACACATGTGTGCAGTACAGTGGACCTCAGCCTGTGACTCCTGTGGCGGTCGAACAACCCTTTCACAGGGGTTGCCTGAGACCATCAGAAAACACAGACATTTACATTAAGATTCATAACATTAGCAAAATTACAGCACTGAAAATAATGTTATGGTTCGTGGTCACCAGCACATGAGGAACTGTATTAAAGGGTCATAGCATCAGGAAGGCTGAAACTACTGGTATACCATCTATTAGATTTCCAATTAGAATTGCTGTGTTGTAGAGGGTTTCAATCATGTAAAATCCTAACTTGACTATATCAGAATAAAAGGAATTTAGATGTGCTCTACCTAATTTGTGTGTGTTTTTGATGATGGTTTTTCCAGCTACACAAATAAACTTGTTTTTCCTTCTTTACCATTTAGGCTATGACTACGTATAAGGAAGACTTGTCTGTTCGGGATGCTGTCCCTATGACTGATTATCTTATGTGGCCTTGGTTTCAACGGCTGGAAGTACTGGAACTCAATGAGTAAGACATTTGAATATTTTATGTGTAATTTAGGATGGCAGTTGTAATATTAATTTTTCTGAGCTAAGATAAATATTTAACGTCCCTGGCATGAATAAGAACTAACAGAGAGGAAAGTCCTGGGTGTGCAGACTCTGTCAGGCTACGCATTTACACTCATTCTCAGACCTGGGAAGCAGGAGACATCTCTCTATGACATGACTGGAGCCTTTTAAAATTTACTCTCTGCTGGTTAAAAGTCCATGGGGGTAGATTTTTTTTTAAGAGTAGACCACTTCTTACTTTCCACCTACTTGTAAGATTTCTATGTTGCTTTGTATAGTCCTGCTTTGAGTTTGATAGTTGGCCACACTGGCTGACTTAGAAGTCTGTAATGTTTTAGACATTACAGCAATCTGGGGCTACTTCTACTCCCATTTCATATAGAAAATTGGTATTTACCACCTAGGTGTTTTTCAATCTGAAGTTCTTCTAACTGACCAAGTCACTCACTGTCACCTTGGCTTCCTCGTCTGTGAAACAAAGACCTTGATGATAGCATTCAGAGCTAAAGTCTACTACTTGGATTTGAAATGTTTTTAAGATACATTTGTAAAGTTTAGGGGATAAACTGCAGTGGTTATTTGATACTCTGGGATGCCCACCTAATTCTTCTAGTTCACATCTCTCCTCTTGTCTACCCACAGGTGTTTAGCCCACACCCCAAAACTTAAGGGCTGGATGGCTGCCATGAAGAAAGACCCTACAGTATTGTCCCACTTAATTGATGCCAAGACCTATCATGGATTCTTAAATCTCTACCTACAGGACAGCCCTGAGGCCTGTGACTATGGGCTCTGAAGGGCAGGAGTCTTCAGAAATCATGGCCATCATGGGTATACCTGCACAATAAAGACAGACAATGCTCCAGCATATGTCTCCAAGAAAGTGAAACAGTTTTTTGCTTATTATAATATAAAGTGTATTACAGGTATACCATACAATCCTACAGGGCATGCTGACATAGAAAGAGCAAATTGAATTTTAAATGATTTGCTAAATAAACAGAAATGGATGATAAAAAACCTACAAATAGACTGCACAGTGCTTTATTAACTTTACATTATCTGAATGCTAATTAGAAAGGAATAACCGCTGCAGAGAGACATTGGATAGTAGGAAAACCTGCAGAATTAAATAAGTTGGTTTAATTCAAAGATGTGTTGACCTCTGAATGCCAACCAGGACATGTTTTACCTTGTTTTGTTTCCACAGGGGAAGAACAGCTGTGGATTTGTAGAGTTAGGATTGCCATTTCAGTCTGAGGTAGAGGTGAGAGCTAGTGGATTGGCTGGTTTGCTTTTCTGATCTTCAGTTTGAAGCTTGAAGCCCAATATCAGTCTCAGGGTTTTTATTATTCATATTACAATACAATTGCATTTTAACCAAAGGTTTTTTTCATTCTTCCGGCTGCCATGAGCCAAAATATTTATTTGTTCATTTCTGGCATGTCAAGAACTCCTTGCTGACTATCCTTTGCCTGAGATTCTTTGCCATAATTCTTAACTACTACACAATTGAAACCAACCACTTTATGTGGTTTTTCTCTCTCCACCAATGTTACAGAGACCTACCCATTCTCCTCGTTTCTTGTCATCAACCTTAAAATGTTGATTTGTGCTCAGTACCAAGTTAGCCACCACTTGACATACCAGGCTCATCACAATTGGACGCAGGGACAGAAAGATGAGTGTGGCACTTGTCTAAGATAGCTTCACATGTGCCACGCTCTAGGCTATCCTGGATGAAGGAGGTCTTCAGCACCTCTTGAAAAGCACTATTGACATGTGTATCACCTCCAACAGCAATGCCTTCTTTGGCCACCATCGTGGTAGATTATGGGCTGATAGAGGCAGTCCTTCTGTATATATGTTCCTGTTATTGGTTGATGAATAAAATACTGTTTGGTCAATAGAGGCAGGATGATAGGCAGGCTAGAAGATGAGGAGAATTCTGGGCAAGGTAGGCAGAGGAGATGTCACATAGCCGCCAAAGGAGTAATAGATCTGGTATTCTCTGGTAAGCCAAGACCACGTGGAAATACATAGATTTATAGAAATGGGTTAATAATTAAGACAGAGCTAGAAAATAAGAAGCCCTAGCCACTGGCCAGCACTTTAGCAATTACTATAAATCTTTGTTTGCTTGTTTGGGGCTGAAGCAGCAGCAGGATCTGACAGGACAAGAAAACTCCAGCAGCAATGGGCCTTGGTACTGACAGGGAAAAGGTATTTTTCTATTCTGAAGACGCAGTTTTCTTAGCCATGCATGGTAGCTCTAATCCTAGTACTCTGGGAGGCAGATACAGGTGGATCTTTGCGAGCTCAAAGCCATATTTGTCTCCACAGTGAGTTCTGGGATAGACAGGACTATGTAGAGAGACACTTTCTTAAAAATGAAAACAAATCACTTTCTTAAAATGTTGTCCAGAATAACGTATAGTTAAATATTGATGCCATGAGGACCAGTCCCCAGCTTAGGGTTTCAGGGGGAGCCTGCAGAGTTGGTGGATTATCATTCAATTTGAATTTTCTATCAGAGGGAGTAAAAGTTGACTCTCTGGGGCCAGAGAGAGTGGCTAAACTTAACTTTCTGGGACTGGTGAAAACACATGCACACTCTCAGGGTCTTACTCTGTTCTCTCTCTCTCTGTCTCTCTCTCATCTTTATTTTTCCTTTTCAGCTTACATATCTGAGCAAATCTTCAATAATATGAAAATTACAATATGGTTACATTTTAGTTTTCAAGTGAATGATTATAATGAATACAGGTAAAAAAAAGTTTCCCATTTTCCTTACATGATTAAACATCCCATTTGGTATAGATGAAAAACAATTATCCCGAGAGCCCACATACACTCATATCCAAGCAAACTAGTTACAGGTGAACAGAGTGTAAGCAATGAAAGTATTTTTCTCAGCCAGAGATCAATTCCTTAACTCAAAGGGTGATCTTATAAGGATTCTTGAAACAATCACAAGCTGAAACTTATATATAGGACAAAAGAATCTGTCATCTCTACTTTAAGTCTTCAGGATGTATACCCACTTGTCAATAGTTTTTTTTTTAATATCAGGAAGCCAAGGACAGAAATGGGCAGAAGGAATTAATCATCACCCATGATCTCCAATCACTCCCAGCACAGAAGACTTGTCAGCCTGTAGGAAATGCACTCCTTTATTCCTGTTCTGTGACCTCAATGAGTCCCTCACTCCACTGTGTGTCTTTCTAAAAGTATAGATGGTTTTCCTTAGGTTTTTCACCTCACAGCTGTTAACAAAACATCTTAACCTAAACTTAGATCATATGTAAAGCATTGTTTTAGCCACGGTGCATTCTGAAACTTGCCAACATATCTCCAACACCAGACTAAAAGATCTTGAACTGGCTGGGCTCCTGAGACTCAGCTGTTTCTCTTAACCATTACCCTAAGCCACAGTTTATTCGACTCCCCAGGAGAAACTCATGTGTTGTAGCTGTGCAACACTTCCCTGTTTTATTTCTTACCCTCTGCAGCTCTGCTTTATCAGGAGTGGTGCAACACCAGATCTTGCTTCTAGCTATATTAGTTTTCCCACTTAGCTAACCTCTGTCATAATCCTTTACTATATTTATTAAAGACACTAAATCATCAAAATATTATTTAAATTAGCACTATTATTACATAAAATCATCGCTTTAGATACACAGTACAGCTTAGGAGGAAATCCTCTTCATAACATTCTGCAGGTAAAAACACCCAATGGAACTGGATATTTTCAAGAGATAATCACATTACCTTGAGGTCAGTGGGATCTTCCCATGCCTGTACACACCATGCCAGATCCCAGAGAAAAATGGCAAAGGCAAACATGTAAAGACACAGAGGTGAAAAGAGACATGCTGGGCAGAGCTTTGGGGCCTTGCCTGTCAGAGATTCACCCATCAGAGATCTCCTTCCTGCTGGGCCGAGCCCTGGAGGCAGTTGCCACTGACTGCTCCTCTGACATGGCACCAGCAGTAAAACACTTCATAGAAAGTTCTCAAGAGATGTCAGAGTCTGCCTCGTTTCCCTGTGCCACAGCAGGACCTCTGTCAGAGCCGTCTTGCAGCTCAACAGATGTGGCCAGAATTCTTGACTCATCCTTGCACACATGAACAGGTCCTCCCCCATCCCCTTCATTCCTATTGGAAGGAAGCATTGCACTAAAGTCTGCAGAGGGTTGTTTTAGCTTTTGTAATCTACCACTACACATGTGCTGCAGTGACCAAGGTGTGTTTCATGTTGCCTGTCTTCAATTAACATGTAGTCATGACATATGTCTTACTGTGCCTTGCTTTTATGATTCAGTCAGTTGATATCTAGGCCTGTAGTTTACTGATTTCCCTTACATGAATAAACTACAGCTAATTCATTCTCCTCTCAATTTTACTTAGGTTCCTTTATTTGTTTATATGCCAGTTTTCCTGCCTAGCTTCTTCCTGTGAGGATATTTTTTTCTTCAAAGAGCAGCCTCTGGCTTTCCTATCTTTCTGACTTAACCATTTAACCAGTATCTTTCCATAGATTCCCTTTGGTGAAGTCCATTCTCCATGGTAGGGACAGCCTTAGAATTAATTAAATTGAACAGAAAAATCAACTGGAGCCTTGGGTTAGAGGCCCGACTCTGGCCTGAAGGAAACAAATGAATGGAACGGCAAAGCTGTAGGGAAAGCTTTCAATCAAAATGGCCGTTAGGTATTTAATCCCTCATTCTGGGTACTGATGTGAGCTTTAGATTTAAATACAGGAGGAATTCGGGGAATGGGTAAGAGGCATTCACAAGTAAACAGTGCTGGTCAGGCCATGATTTGGTTGTTTTGTTTCCACAAGACAACCTTGGAGGAATCTTTATTGGTTGTGTGACCATCTGGTTCCCACAAAAAGATGGCTGCTGTTGGTGGGTGATCATCTCATGAGATGATCTGCCTGCAATGATCTATTATTCTTGGAATCCATGGTGTCTTCCGTTCTACAGGAATGACTGCAGCCTATCTGGTCCCTTTTCTGATGACAGGAATAGGGTGTTGTAAAAGCTGATAGTCAGATACTTCAGTCATTCTTAACTTATAGAAAGAAATGCTTTTTTATTTAAACATTAACCTTAAGGTGGTTAATTTGATCTTAGGCAACTTGAATTTAATCCTATCCACATGTATTATAAACTTAAAAGTATGAAATGATTCACCACATTTTTGAAAAATCACAAAAGGATGCTGTATCAAATGGATATATCAAGACAGTAAAGGTGGGCATTACTTAGAAGATAAAAAACTATTTCTTGTCACTGGGGTTTTTATTTTCTCATCTTCTTGCAACACAGTTCAAATTATTCTTCAACCTAATTAATGACATTTACAGTTACAAAATGCATAGTCCTGTGCCATTTTAGCTGTGGTCAACAGTGATAGATGCCTAGGTGTCCCAATACTATGTTCTTACCTTCTAGGACTAACACATGATCTGTATTGCAATGTAGACCAATAATTGTGTACAGTGTTTGCTGTAACTGTATGCTTCTTTATTTCTTGAAGAGTACATGCTGCTCTCTGCTTGTTAGTCTGGCCAGATAAGAATCCCTCTTGCTAGGATCTTCAGATGTACCTGCTAGGATGCTGTGGTCCGTGGCTGGGCTCTTCAGATGTATCTGTTGCTTAAGCCCCTTTGGTACTTCGTTAATAGTTTTAGTGAAAGCAGGAGAAGCCAAGATCAAAAGTGCAGTAAGTCGCAAGGTCATTCTCCCTTCTCCAGTAATACAGCTGGAAACAAAACCCAGACATAGTCTTCTATAAATAGCACCAGAGTTGCTAGCTGTCACCCTTTCACTATGGGAATCCTGGTGCCCATTTTCCCCGAGTCTTAAGTTAAAAGACTTTGGACAGACCTTCTGGTCAGAATTTTTTTTTCTGTAGACCCAAGAAGCTAACTTGTCGCAGCCCACTGTACTTAAGTCAGCTTGTGCTCTTTCTAGGGTGTAGAAACAAGGTTTTACGGGTCGAATTTCTAAGGCACAGCCATCGTCTTGATGCTAATAACATCCACATGTGTGCTCTTTTTGGTGGGTTTCTGTAGTGACGGTGGCCCATAACGAGCTAGTATAGGCAGAAGAGAAGATTGGCCAGGAAGCTAGACCACCTCCACACCGTCATAGGTTACAGCAAGACTTTTGGCGTGACCCCTCTGGAACCTTGAAACCAAGGCACAGGAGCCTAATCTTGGAAATCTTGGGACAGAGCTAGAGCTAGAGCCAAGGGTTGAAACCCAGAGGCCAGTAGCATGTGAATTACCAGGGCACGTCCTGGTGACCAGAGTTAGGTTCAGAGTCCTTTGTGAAGGCTGACAGTCGAGGAGGGATGGGATAACTCTGAACATCTCAACATTGGCGAATCTCCAAGAGGGATCATAGATTTCCCTTTTTAAAGCATCGACCTCTGTGGGGGCGGGGCATCTCCGGGCTAGGAGGCGCGGTCTGGGCGGGGCTGAGCACAGGCACTTAAGGCAAGGGGAGGCCACATACTTCCTGAGTCGCCCACAAACTAGAGCACAACTCTAGTGTCTCTCGGCTTGCACAGATCAACCATGTCTGGGGCATCTTCCAAGAGCCTGGGGAAAGGTGAGGCTGTCCGCGGCGGGCTGGTTCCGGGGACCGGGGATGCCCTGATGTCCGGGATCTCCCTGCTATCTGGGCCTTGACTGTCTCCTGTCTCCTGCAGGAAGCTCGCCTCCGGGTCCGGTGCAGGAGGGCCTGATTCGCGTCTACAGCATGAGGTTCTGCCCCTTTGCTCAGAGGGCTCTGATGGTCCTGAAGGCCAAGGGAATCAGGTGGGGACGAGGAGATGACTCCCTGGCTACCCAGAGCTGGTGGCAGGGCTGTCCAGACCCTCAGAGCATCGGTTTTTGTGTTAGGTGAAATAGTCTCAGCCTTTTGTAGGAGCCTTAAGTCCCACACCCTCTTTTCAAGGGGAGAAATGTGGGGGACTCCAGGGCCCTAAGGCAGCCTGTTTAAACATCCCGTGTCTTGGATCCGAACCTGTTTCTTCTGTACAGTTAGTGATTTGCACAAGATCGCTGAACACTGCTCTGGTCCCTGGAGGCAAAGGTCGGAGAATTTGACCCAGCAAACAAGGTTCTGAATCTACTTTCCTGTGTACAGCCGGGTGGGTTGGGCTCTTGCAAAATAAAAAGGAAAGTGTGCATCTAAAAGTCACTTCGCAAAGCCTTGTCTACAAGTTGACTTTTCTCTGAGAATAGTTATTAGACACCTGCTGTTTGGAAGACCACTCTCAATAGAATTTTCATGTATACAGTTAAAATTTGTAAACTAATTTTAATCCATGGGGAGGCTAGGCAGGTCTTTTCCCTAAATGTTAAGATGTATCCTAAAGCAGAATTTTAAAAATTAACTATCATTTCATAACAATTTTGATTTCATTCAGCAGAGACAGTGTGGTTTTGAACACATAAAAATACTTTTGCTAGTATTTATCTGGAGCAAATTTTTCTGCATTACACAGAATTTCTAATATCACTAAGAAACTCAAACTGAATTGAAAAATAAAGGTATTTACTGTCCTCATGCAATGGGAAAGGCCAAGCTGGATTCATGGACACAATGCCTTGTGGTATGTGTTTCCCCCTGCAACTCTGGGCAGAAAGAATCACATTTCTCACCAGAAGCTTTCTGCTGCTTTCAGCAATGCTGAAATTATTTTACCATAACAGTGTGCAGGGAGGCTCTTATTAGGGAGGTGGGGCCTTCAGATGCACATGTAACTGCTCTGCTGTGTTCACAGTTGGATTTCAAACCCTGGAAAAGTTTTCGTGGAGCAGTAACATCTTACACAGGCCATATCTGTAAAGAGTATCCTATACCCATGGATGCATGTGTGGGCTGCCATCTCATTCATGTGTGTTCTTGGTCCTTAAAGCCTAGGACCCACCTTTGATTTTCAAAGTATAATTCCCAGAGATGAGCAGTTTTCTATGGCAGGGGGGTTGTTTTTCCCTTAGCAGCTGATCTGTGCCTTATTATTCTGTTAGCATATAAACCTTTTCACACACACACACACACATACACACACACACACACACACACACACACAAATGCCAGAGCGTACTTCAGTGTTCACACTGGTTATTTGTCTTTATGAACGATTATGTAGTTAAGTCCATGCAATAAATGTGTTATGAGTGAGAACACAGGAAATCGGAGGTGTTGAGATGTCTTTCTTTTGAGTGATGGGTCCCACTGGACAGTGCTCCAGATTTGAGTTTACAGGCTTTGCTTTATGGGTTATAACACTTTTCTTTCTGCAAGACACAGGTGTACACAATGAGAACCAGATTTAGCCTGGCTCCTGTGGATTCTGCATTATAAAAATTAATGTATTTGTGTGTGTGAGCTTCTGTGCACCTGTGCTTCCAGGATCCCATAGAAGAAAAGATGTTATTGGATCCCAAGAAACTGGGGTTCAGACTATTGTAAACCCTGATTGACATGGGACCTGGGAACTGAACCGAAATCCCCTGAAAGAGGAGCAAGTGCTCTTAAACATTGGGCCCCCCCTCCAACCCTATACTTCTTAAATCCCCTTTGAAAGAAAACATATGAATACATGTCGACCTAATTGATTCACTCTATGTGATTTTTAGGATTTTTAAAAAATACAATTGTAAGGATCTCATAATTCATATTAGAAAAATGAATTGTTGAATGAATTCAATTCATTTTGAGCTGAGTCAAACCGAAAATGAGCTTTTGTCAGGCTGATTCTAATATTCTGAGTGGGTATGAGCACAGTTCCATAGTTACCTCCTAATAGTTATCAGGGTCCAGAAGATTCCAGTACATCCATGTCCATTGCAGCACTGTTCACAACAGTGTGATGTTGATGGCCGTGGACAGATAAGTTGATACAGAGAAGGTGTTACAGAAGTAAGTAGTGTACCTTTTTTTTTTTTCCTGAAATAGAGTTTCTGTGTGTAGCTTTGGAGCCTGCCCTGGAACTCACTCTGTAGACTAGGCTGGTCTCTAACTCACAGAGGTTCACCTGGCTTTGCTGGGATTAAAGGCATGGGCCACCACCACCCAGTGCCTTGACTTTAAATAGAAGGAAAGTCTACACTGTGTGACAAAGATGGATCCTGGGGACCTTAAGTGAAATAAGTGAGCGCTGTCTGATTCACTTTCTGAGGGCCTTGGAAACAAGTTCTTAAACTGAAAATTGAGCAGGGTGAAGACAGAGGCAGAACTCTCTCCCTGAATCCCCACCTTGTCAGCCAAGGAGACAGGAGAACCAGGCTACACTAACTCGGAAAAACAGACTGTGCCTTGCTCTTGTCAATTTCCCTGTGTCTTTCAGGCATGAAATCATCAATATCAACCTGAAAAACAAGCCCGAGTGGTTCCTCAAGAAGAACCCGGCTGGGCTGGTGCCAGTTCTGGAGGACAGTAAGGGTCGCCTGATCTCCGAGTCTGTCATCATCTGTGAGTACCTGGATGAGGCGTACCCAGGGAAGAAGTTGTTCCCAGATGACCCTTACGAGAAAGCTTGCCAGAAGATGATCTTAGAGTCATTCTCCAAGGTGCGTGTAAGAAAGTCCAGCTCATGTTTGTTTTAAGCTAAATCAGCAGTGCCTGTGCGATGGTTCAGGGGCTGGGGACATGGACGGGGTCTCTACTCCATCCTGCCAGGCCCTCATGCTCTGTCCCTGCTTGGCTTTCCCTCTTGGCTTTCTCCTCTCCACCCCTGATGATGTTTCCTGTCTTGCCACGGGTCCCCTCTTCTCTCCCAGCTTTTCCCGGGAGTCTTCTCCTTTCTTTTACTGGGTTTAGGCAGCTTTGATATATGTGCTTGGACCTGCTGCCTTCTAGAAACAGGGTTGGGCTTCTCAGGACTCCAGCTGTGTTCTGGATAAGCTTTTCCTCACCATGGCTGTTGGCCCTCTTTGTTCATACCTGCCTGCCTTCCTGTCCTTGTTGCTCTGCGAACCTGTGCTTCATGAGGAGAGGAGGGCTGTGTGTCCATCACTGATCAGTAGTGCCTGTGTCTGTGACTTGCTTGGAAAACATTCAGACTGTGCTTTCAGGCAGATTTCTTGTTTGACCTCTAGTGTGTTAGGTCAGATGCAAACCATTTCAACCAGAAGTGCCCAGAACTAACTGATACATGGTACCTACTTAGTTTTAGCTCTTAATTGCTTTGGCTGGTCTTTAGCAGTGACAATCCACTGAGGTTTCTGAGGTAGAATGTGCTTGCATCTTATTTATGGTCAGAGTGGATTAATTCAAATTAGTATTAGCAGAGATGACCAACACTGATGGAATTTCATGAGACTCTGGGTGGGCTCTCTTCATCTTGCAGAGCTAAATATCAAACTCACAACTCCAAAAGCACTCGTTAATAGGTTGGACAACACACCCATCAAATCTTCAGAAAATCAAGCCCTTTTGAACAGCCCTTTGCAGTTGTAAGGTAGAACTCAGAAAATTGTTCATCCCCAGCTGCCTTTGCAGGTGGGGCATGGCCTGTGACCAAAGTCCTTCTGTTACATGGGCACAGCAGCCTTCAACTGAGATAAGGGCAGTGTCAACAAACAGGCCTGGTGTGGAAGTCTGGTGCCAGCAAAACAGGCAGCAGAGCTTCTGGTTATGGGGTGGTGGTGGCTGCAAGATTGAATTCTAGGGAAGCAGTGCTGTTTCTAGTTGTCCCAGTGTTCATCAGTACAAATTCCCATCAGTGGCCATTAGCACAGGCAGCAGCTGGGAGCTTTGGTTAGTCTAGTTCTCCATGTCATATTAGAAAGTTCCCATAGTTCCAGGCCCATTGGTCCAGTTCTAAGCCACTTGCTGTCTGTTTATGAAATTTCTGACTCAAATTTTCCAGAGTGGGTTCCATTGTCTGCAAATCACAAACTCTGCACATTCTCAAATCCTAGTCCACAAGAAGGTTTGTAAGATCAGGCTGTGGTTTCTGTAAACACTGGGACTTGGTCCATACTTGTCTCTACAGCATTCTGGAGGGGTACCAGGACTATGAGGGCTCTGTTATGTTTATGTGTGTGCAGGGGGCCAGGAGAATAAGGGTTCTTGTGTGTGTGTGTGTGTGTGTGTGTGTGTGTGTGTGTGTGTGTGTGTGTGGTGTGGGGGGGGAGTGCACTATCCTCATACTTATAAACTAAAACCTCATTTTCTGACCAGGTGCCACCTTTGGTTGCAAGTTTTTTTAAGGGTAAGAAGGAAGACCACCATGACATAAGGGAAGAACTCAGGAAGGAGCTCCGCAAGCTGGAGGAGGTGATCACTCTCTTATCTTCATCACAGTTGATGATAACTCTGTCTACATTCCTTCTCTTTCCCTCCTCCTTCACAGGCTCCCTCTCCAAATCGCTTTCTGACAATTAGAAATAGCATCAAATAAAAACAAATCGCAATAGATTTCTGTAAGCTGTTCAACTCCTGCAGAGTCAAAACACGTGACATTACCATCATGTCTTGTTATTTTTATTTAGTATTTTGAGACAGGTGTCACTGTATCCCAGTCTAGCCTCAAGCCCACTATGCCGCCCATACAGGCCTTGAACTCATGATCCTCCTGCCTTAGCAACCTGAGTGCTAGAGTTACTGTGATGCATGACCACACATGGTTTAAAGGCTGGAGGTATTTAGTACATCAGTATTAATGCGGCAATGAAAAAACACTACCAATATTTCCACAGTAAGTCATTGCTTCCAGACTATGTTGATATATTGAAAGTAATAGTTGTCATCAGACACCGGTGCCAATGCACTGCTTTTCGCTGCTGAGGATGTAATAAACGCTTCCCACTGTGAAGTCTGACAGACATGCAGACATGCAGGGAAGCCTGGATTTCTTTCCTTTGGGGAGAGCTGTCCTTTGGGCCTTCAGATAAAACTTTCATCGTGGTTTTGATGCATGGATGGAGATACACACTAGCATTTTATCACTGAGCATGGAGTTCGTTCTAGTTTTTTTTTCTGAAGTTTTTCACCATATCCTGTTACTAATTTGCTATTTTTAAGACTTTTTTTTTGCTGCTTTTCATTATGTGTATGTGAGGATACAGTGCAGTGCATAGGTATTGGATCCCCTGAACGGGGAGTTACAGGTGCTGTGAGCCACCTGACATAGGTGCTGGGAAGGAAACTTCAGTTCTCTAGAAAAGTCCTCCATGCCTGTAACCTCTGAGCCATCTCTGCAGCCCTAATCTAATTCTTACCTTGGGAGTACTGAATGTTTTGTCTGTTACATCTATAGAAATGTCCATAGAACCCATTTCCTTTAACCTGATACTTGTGGCCTGTAAACACCCACGCTTACTTACTAGGACAAGGTTACCTGAAGTAGCCTCAAGGAACTAAACTGGCCTTGGAGAGTCCACAGAAAAACTTAAGCTGTGGCAGTTTTTAATTGATCAATCAGACTTATCATACATTTGTCAGAAACAGAATATATGGGAACTGCTGGGACTAATACAGCCGTAGTTGCTAGGATACAATGATGTTTACAAGCTACACAGGTTGCACAAGGTAAATGTCTTAAGAGTTTTTGTCCTGTGAAATGTCCATACTTGCTTCCTTGACTTCCCAGGGAACATACAGAAAAACAGAAAGCAGCCTGAACACTTCACTGCCTGAGCGACTGCCTCAGTCTCTCAGTGCCCCAGGAGCTAGGACTCTAGCTTGAAAAACCTATACCTCATGCCAGGCTAACTCCATGATTCCCCACAGTGGTCTTAGAGGGGATGGCATCTTGCTCAGTGAACTTTCATATGTGTTGCAGACTATTCAGTCAATCAAGGATTTGTCTCTATGCACTCATGGATTTGACCCACAGTTCACTATTCTGATATCTTTATTTGGGTCTGGTATTATGAATATTGTAATCTCCTAAAATGGGTTGGGTAACTTCCCTTATTTGTCTAACCCCTAAAACAATTTAGCTGCATTTTCATTTGTGCGTGATGTATGGTGCAGTTCATTTCTTTACTGGTAATTCATTGTGGGGTTTTATGTTTGCTCGTAAATCAGTTTTTGTTAGTTTATGGCTTTCTGTGGGACACCATGGAATCTGGAAAGATGCAGTCCACTTTCTTCAGGTCTATTTTAGTGGCAAGAAGACAAATAATCAGACACCAACAGTCCATCCACACTGTAACATTACACGGTTCCTGAGGAAGATTATGGAGGTCATTTATAATGGGCAAATTGGCTTGGTTCTGGTTTTCAAAAATTCTTTTCCTGTGTCTTATACACAGATAACGAATTTTAGTCAATATGCACCCTACTTCTCTCCATTAGGGAGAGGTTTAATTAACCAATATTGTCAATTTTTCACTTTGGTAGAACCCTAGTACCAACTCACCTTTATAACTTCAAAAACTTCCCATTTGAATTTAGTGTTATTTAAACAATTGTCATCTGTTTAATATGTAGTTCTATCCATTTCTAGGATACTTTAAGTATGTTTTAACTAAAAATTTACATTCAGAGAAGCACCAGATTTATAAAAGTACAACTTGGCAACTTTTTAAATAATAAACACATCATGGTACCAGCTAAGAACCAAATAGGAAGTTTGGGTTGTTTCTTACTTTCTACAAATGCAGCTACATAATGTGCATGCTTTAATAGCTTCTTCTACTTGCTTTACTGTTTTAAGATATTCTACACTATGTACTGGTTGTCCAGTGTTACAAGGTTTGATAGTAACAAAAATTCTTTACTGCACTCTGGACAAGTAGCAATGCTCCCAGTTGAGCTATTGCAAACAGTGCTGCAGTATTCACTAGTGAGGGGGTCTCTGACCGCCAGGGCTGGCAGAGTAACAGTCTGGGTGACACAAGAAGGAAATGTGGTTCAGCATACTCAGGAGCCGGTGTTGGTTCAAACTTCTGGGTCTGACACCAGGCAGTCTACTTTAGGCATATTTAAGTGCACTACAGGTGTCTGTGCACAGAGGCAGTTACATGGAAACTCTGCTCCAAGTGCATGTCCACGAGATGGGCTGTAGATAGGGGACTTGTGTTATTTTACAGGCCTGGGGGAGGATCTGGTGTGGTTTTGGTCACACAGATAGTGTAGAGGTCATCTGGGCTAACAGCCACCTCTGGTCCTGGTTGTGGGAGCCTGGGGGAGCCCTTGGCTACACAGATAACACAAAGGTCACCTCGACCATGAGCCATTTCCAGTTATGGTTGTGGGAGCTTTTGGGGAGCCAGGTATGGCTTGGCCCTACAGATAGCGGGGGGGGGGCAAGCAAGGGTGTGAGACACCTGCACCCCTAGCCTGTTTAGTATTCCTGCTCCCTTAGTGCTGTCTGTGAGCACAAGGACCTTTATCCTCCCAACACATGTGTGCAGTACAGTGGACCTCAGCCTGCGAGCTGTGACTCCTGTGGCGGTCGAACAACCCTTTCACAGGGGTTGCCTGAGACCATCAGAAAACACAGACATTTACATTAAGATTCATAACATTAGCAAAATTACAGCACTGAAAATAATGTTATGGTTCGTGGTCACCAGCACATGAGGAACTGTATTAAAGGGTCATAGCATCAGGAAGGCTGAAACTACTGGTATACCATCTATTAGATTTCCAATTAGAATTGCTGTGTTGTAGAGGGTTTCAATCATGTAAAATCCTAACTTGACTATATCAGAATAAAAGGAATTTAGACGTGCTCTACCTAATTTGCTTCTGTTGTTTTTGATGATGGTTTTTCTAGCTGTGCAAATAAACTTGGTTTTCCCTTTTTACCATTCAGGCTATGACTAAGTATAAGAAAGACTTCTCTGTTGGGGATGCTGTCTCTATGGCTGATTATCTTATGTGGCCTTGGTTTCAATGGCTGGAAGCACTGGAACTCAATGAGTAAGACATTTGAATATTTTATGTGTAATTTTGGATGTGAGTTGTAATTTTATATATACATATATATATATGGAATTTTCTGAGCTAAGATAAATACTTAGCATTACCGGCATGAATGAGAAGCAACAGAGAGGAAAGTCCTGGGTGCACAGAACCTGTCAGGCTACGGTATTCATACTGAGGCTCAGACCCCAGAAGCAGGAGACATCTCTCTGTGCCATGACTGAAGCTTTTTAAAATTTACTCTCTGCTGGTTAAAAGTCCATGGAGGGTAGATTTTTTTAAGAGTAGACCACTTCTTACTTTCCACCTACTTGTAAGATTTCTATGTTGCTTTCTATAGTCCTGCTTTGAATTTGATGGTTGGACACACTGGCTGACTTAGAAGTCTGTAATATCTTAGACATTACAGCTATCTGGGGCTACTTCTACTCCCATTTCATATAGAAAATTGGTATTTACCACCTAGGTGTTTTTCAATCTGAAGTTCTTCTAACTGACCAAGTCACTCACTGTCACCTTGGCTTCGTCTGTGAAACAAAGACCTTGATGTTAGCATTCAGGGTAAAGTCTACTGCTTGCATTTGATATGTTTTGAAGATACATTTGTAAAGTTTAGGGGATAAACTGCAGTGGTTATTTGATACCCTGGGATGCCCCCCTAATTCCTCTAGTTCACATCTCTCATCTTGTCTCCCCACAGGTGTTTAGCCCACACCCCAAAACTTAAGGGCTGGATGGCTGCCATGCAGAAAGACCCTACAGTATTGTCCCACTTAATTGATGCCAAGACCTATCATGGATTCTTCAATCTCTACCTACAGGACAGCCCTGAGACCTGTGACTATGGGCTCTGAAGTGCAGACCTCCCCAGTGAATAACAAGCCTTCATTTTATCCAGTATTTTCACTCATTTCTCACTGATGACACCCCATGGCTTAATTGTGTTTCCTTCAGGCCTCTCTACTGCAGTATTTCTATTTCAGAATCATCAATCTAGTGGTCCTAAGAATCTTCACTGAAATCCGGCAGATGGTCATCTTTAGTTTGATCCAAACTTCACCTAGATCTCCTGATTTCAAGAAAATGCCAAGTTTTTGATGTCTTAGTTATAAATTAAATACTGGGAATTCCCCCATTCTTTCCATTACTGAGTCTCACATTTTTGTTGTGACCATTGAAGACTGAATCCAAACAACCTAAAATCGACATGAGAGAGAGAGATAGAGAGAGAGAGAGAGAGAGAGAGAGAGAGAGAGAGAGAGAGAGAGAGAGAGAGAGGAGACAAATACTGTGTGTGGGTAACTGCAGGGGTGGCGGTAGGAGGTAGGAGAGAGTTAAAGAGCCCCCTGGAGCAGGTGTTACCAGCAGAGGCCATGGGTGATGGGAACCTAGTCTTCCTCTAGAAGGGCAGCAAACACTCTTAACCACCGAGTGGTCTCTCTAGCGATTTCTAACCCCTTCCAATCCTTCCTTCCAAATCCCATATTAGACACAAATAGGTGTCTCATGTGCCAAACCGTCAAGACCCATATCAGCCGTTCAGTATGTAAGATTGGGTAAGCTAAGGGTGGTGTATCTCCATTGAGAAAGATTAACCCTACTTTTATCATCAAATCACCTCCATACGAGAAGGTAGTCTGGGAGCCTCATTGCATTTGTGGCGGTCCTGAAGTTAAGCGAGGCCCTAAGATGATGGCAGCAGGATCTGGAAGACACATCCCCAACGACCTGACCAAGGAGAGCCACCCGATCGGCTGGTTTTCTGACGTGCACGCCGGGGGAGCCGGTTGACTTCACAAACGGGACAACTAGCGTGCTCGTTCCGGGCGGGGCCACCCGTGCGCAGGCCACCGCCAGACCCCGGCAGCTGCTCGCGGCCTTCCTGGAGGATGTGAGGAGACACGATGCTGAGGTGCACCGTCTGCTACCCCACTTCCTCTATCGGCAGTCGCAGATACCGGCACCGACCGCCATTTCCCTAACTAGCGGCTGCAACGCGGCCGCCTATTGGCTCGCTCTCCCAAACGCGTCGGGTATTGGCTGAAGCGCAGGGCCGGCGGCCAATTGGGGAGCAGGGACGTGCGAGAAGGGGCGGGTCCTTCACGCGGGTCTCCAGGCTGCCCAACTCCGGGTCAGAACGGCAACCCCTGGAAGGTTCCGCCACTGGGGGGGCTCAGGCTCGCCCGCACCGGGTCGGAAGGGAAGAGGACTCTGAGGTCAATTCTGAACTTTGGGCTGCCAGGAAAGGATCGCCAACTTTAAATTTTGCACTTTTCGTTTTAAAGGAAAGCTCAAATATTTAACCATAGCTGAGGTTTCATTTTCTTAAATTGCCACAAAAAGCGGGGAGGGGAGAGAGAGAACATAGAACTAGGGTAAAGAAATTATTATTTAAAAAAAAAAAAAAGAGCCGGGTGGCAGCAGTACACGCCTTTAATCCCAGAACTCTGGCGGCAGAGATAGTGGGTTTTCTGTAAATTCCAGGGCAGTCTGTCTACAGAGCGAGTACCAGGACAGCCAGGGCTACACAGAGAAACTCTGGAAAACCCAAAACCAAAACCAAAAAGAAAAAAAAAAAGTCAATAATCCAAGAACCGAGGGGGGGGGTCTTTAAGCCAGATACTTGTAATCAAAATTAAATTGCTTTTTTCTTTTTGGATTTGGGCGAAGACTGGCAAGTACCATTTCACATGAGTTCTTGCCTTCAGCTTGGCATTGTTAATTGATTTATGTTTCTGATGAGGACACAAGCAGGTGGGAATTTCATTTCAGGGACTGCCTATGTTTTGAAGGCTATGGAAGTCCTCCTTGCTACATTTAAATGATAGTGGACGTAATAGCAGTTAATGTCAAAAAAATCGCTAGATGACAGACAGATCCAAATAAAACTTCTCAACCACATGGTACTCTTACCTCTACATTACAGACTAGAATCTTACCTCTACATTACAGACTAGAATAACAGGGCATTAGAATATCGGGGTGTAGGCGGCTTCTGTCATTTGCCTAAGGCAATGCAAATAACATCAAATTAATTATTAAATGCTGAAGTGATTCAAATGTAGTCTGGTTAAGGCTGCTCTTGAAATAAGAGTATACACATCTAAAAGTTCTTATTCAACAGCCTTACATTTAGAGATTAAGCCAAGACAGACTAATATGATCTATTCTTCCCCCCCCAAACGGTTTCTCTGTGGCTTTGGAGCCTGTCCTGGAACTCACTCTTGTAGACCAGGCTGGTCTCGAAGACACAGAGATCTGCCTGCCTTTGCCTCCCGAGTGCTGGGATTAAAGGCGTGTGCCACCAATGCCCAGCTGCAGTATGATCTATTCTTATCAGTGTTCCACATTCTCCAAGTTGACTGCCTTAGAATAGGAAAGGAAAATTGCTTACCTATTGAGTATGTCCAGACTTCTATGTCAGTATCCCTAAACAATGCAATGTAACAACTGTTGATAGAAAGTTTCCCTTTGGAGACTTTTGGGGAGCTTTTCAAGTAATCTAGAAGTGGTTTGATGAATGGATATAGGAGGATGTGGTTGGATTATTTGCAAGCTCTCCATGATTTTCTGTAAAGGTTTTGAGTATCCATGGAATTTGGTGTTCAAAGAGGACCCTGGAAGTAATTCTGGGTGGACACTGGGGAATGGTTTGGTTCAGACCCACCTTTTTGGTCACACCACTAGTGTGGTTTGGTCTTAGCAGAAGCTGTTGATGTTTTGCAAACCTTATGTCAGAATCTTGAAATTTTGCTTTTGATATCCAAACATTATCAAGGTGTATAAATGTGCTCCATGTTGTAAGGTAAATGGGACTAGGGAAACAGGAAGTAAGTTCTTTAAAAGAAGTCTGCTTCCTCTCCATTTTCCTTACATGGAAGGGCAAGGTCCTCCTGTGGTAACTTCAGTAATATGTCCCAAAGTCAACTTCACTGGAACACAAGATTCCCTGTGGTCCAACTCCCTGCAAACCTGGACAGGTGTGAGAACAGAGCCCTTTCTCTTCTGACTCTGGGAATTCAGTGAATAGCAATGGAATACCCAGCAATGTGATCTCTCATATCAAGTGGGCTTCAAGATAGAGAAATATGGTTTCTGAAATAGAGGAATAGAGTTTCTGCTACTATTAGAGACTGAAGTGACTTTTCGTTTTGTTTTTACTCAAGCCAGGTATAGTGGTGAACACCTTTAATCCCAGCACTCTGAAGGCAGAGGCAGGTGGATCTGTGTAAATTTGAGGCCAGTCTGGTCTACATGTGACTTCCATAATAGTCAGAGTTATATAGTGAAACCCTGTCTCAAAAAAAAAACCCAACAAAACAAAATAAACACACACACACACACAGAAAGAGAGAGAGAGAACTCATTTCCTCAAAATGAACTGAAATAGAGTCAAGAAATTATTTCCATTCTGTAAACACATAAATCATTGATTATCATGATCAAAGATTTCTGTATTTTCACAAAAGCAAATCTGTGACTGGGGAGATGGCCTGGTAGGTAAGGTGCTTGTAGAGCAAACATCAGAACCTGACTTCCAGCCCCAGAAGCCATGTGCAAGGCCAGGTGTATTGTAACCCTGTGCTGGGAAGGCAGAGCTGGGGGATTTTGGGGCAGCCAGCTTGGTCAGATCAGCAAGTCCCAGGTGTGAGACCCTGTGAGGTCTTGACTCAAAGACCTCTGGCATCCACATATGTGTTTACACGTGCGCATATGCACCTACACACACACATACACACACACACACACACACACACACACACGCACGCACACACTGGATATGATTATATTTCAGATGCTTGGAAACTTTTTTGGAATAGGTTTCTATGACCTTATTATAATTGTTTTGTGCTTGAGTTGGTCAATATAATAGAGATGCGAACATGAAATAGCATAGACAGATCATTTGGGAAAAAAACATTTAGGCGCTACTTTCTGAATCTTTAGGAAGTAGTGGAGAACACGCTTAAAGGTCATAATTAAAATCCTCCTGGGAAAACTGTTGTGATCTTTGGTGAGATTAAAAATCACATTCCTAAAAAGTAGCCTGCAGCATTCAACACATACAGCCAGCATTAAACCGCAAACCGGCGAAATGAGTGTTGTGAGTTAGATTCTCACTCTGATACACCCAACAAAGCTCAATTGAGAAGGTGCCATGTGTGCTGCCAAATGCATGCTTAGTCATTAGTATTTCTCTTTAATTTTGAGGTACACTGAGCTAAGACTCTGTTGATGAGGTCTGCATGTCTTCATTCAATACTCAAAACCTTCATGTACGTACCGTTAAGGTTGTCATCTTAAACAAGGAAAGTGGTTGTCATCTTAAACAAGGAAAGTGGTTGTCAAAGAGGCTGGGGATTTTGTCCAAGTGCCAGAAAGCAGGTCACGCAGCCCATGTGGCTTCAGCTCCCGTTTCGAGAATCTGGACATTGCACTGCTTCTTGTAGCCAAAGAATGCTGTCCTAGCCCACTAAATGGACTTGCATCTCAAAACTTGACCTTCCATATGCAGGCATACTTTTTTTTTGAGACAGGGTCAATATGAGGCCTCAAATTCGTGGTGCCTCAGACATACCACAACAACTTCCTTAATAAATGACATTTCCAGCTCTCAGATTTAATTTCCTTTAGGAGAGAATCATGAGGGAAAATTGGAAATACAGCCTCTTCTGGCGTAATAGAATCTTTTAATTTGCAAATGGAATTCCCATTCTGACCATTTTTAGCCCAGCCATTGCAACATAAGCTGTGAATGACCAAATTAAAACCACTCAGGCTAACTCAGGCCAACTGCTGGATTCTGTGCAGTTCAAAGAGCTAAGAATCTTTTAAAAAAAATAACTGTTTTAAGTAGCTGGAAATATCAAAATATAAATCATAAGTGGTGATGTAGAAATCGTATGAAAGTGAGCTATAGTGAACGGTTTGTGAATTGTGGACTTGGAGTGATGTGTCAATATAGGTACATCCATTGTAACAAAGGCAGTGCTCTGATTGGAATGTTAATAGTATAGGAGGCTGTGTGTGGAGGTAGCCAGAATATGAGATGCCTCTATATGCTTGCTTTATAGTGCTATGTACCAAAAGCAGTTCTAAAAGTTATAGGCTATTAAAAATATATCAAGCTCAGCGACCATAAGTAAGGTTTTATCAGGGCACAGCTGTGCCCATTCATTACAAGAATTGAGTGGATGAGACCTGAGAAGTCTTCAACATCCCCTCCATGGGGAGTTTTCTGACTGTCCATCCCATTGTATCGGGCACTGACTAAGCTACTGGGTGAGAATGATGTCCTCAGAGTTAAAACTCTCTCCTCTCTTACACTGACCAGTTGTAAGACATTGCTGAAACTTGTTAGCATTTGCCTACTCATCTTTTGAAGGGGACGATAAGTCCTATCGGACACTTGCAGGACCAGCTTAAGGGTTAAATGATCTATAAAGCACCAAACAGGTCAGTAATAACCCATTGTGCTTTTGAAATTCTGCCCTTTTCTTATGCCTTCCTTTTTAGAATCTGGGTATTTTCCTCAATCGCCTGCTTTGTTTATGTGAAAGGTGGGTGAAAAGAGAAAAGAAATAGGAGGACTTGATAGCTCCTTAGGGGTAGAGGCTTTTATTATGTAAGGGAGGCTACAGCAGAGGCAGAAACATCTGGGAGAGGCAGTGGACTTAGCTGGAAGACTGAGTTGGGCCCTGTGGGGAGAGGAGGAAGAGAAGAGCAGAGTCCCTGGGCTGGAGAACGTTGAGGTAGGGGGCAGGGCTGGTAGGGGGCAGGACATGCCAGTCGGGAGGACCTTACAACAGGAAGGGACTGAGAGATGGGGGGGTGACCTGGTAGCTAGCATCCTCTTTAGTGTGCTGTAGGTAGTCAGTCCTTTGTCCTGAGTTTGAGACCTAACAAAAGGTACATTTGTCTGCTCAGAAGCCTCCTCATTACCCCTCCTTACTCAACACAGCATGGTTATGTTCCTTGTTTCTGTTTTTACCATCAAGCTTGTCCTTGATCAAAGTTACTTCCAGGGAAGTAGTTGCCTGTGACAGCATCTGCAAGACTGGGTCTGCCTTAACCGGTACCAGGTTTCTGTGGCAACTTCCAAGCATTGATCCAATTGCCCCCCCCATTCCTAATTCCTATAGAGGAGCTATGGATGAGGCATTCCCTAATTCCCATATAGGAACTATGGATGAAGCATTCTCTAATTCCTGTATAAGAACTATAGATGAGGCATTCCCTAATTCCTATATAGGAGCTATGGATGAGACATTCCCTAATTCCTATATAGGAACTCTGGATGAGGCATTCCCTAATAGGAATTAGGAAATTGACGATGCTTTGGCATTTAAGCTTAACTCCCACAGAATCACTGGATTCTTGACTAAAACTGTGGCTGAATTTGTTCTGAAGATTTCAAAGATTCTTATTCTGTAGAAAAATGATCATTATTAGCCAAGACATTCTGGAAAGGCGAGAATTCCAAAGGCCCAGAATTGCCCATCTTCTAAACCCTCTGACAAAGCTCTGCTGCTTTGATGAGAAATTGAACCCAGCAATGAAGCTGCCATTATGTGCTGTCTGTGTTTCCGGACATAAACTCTCCGCTGTTGTAGCCCAGGACAACGGGACTTTTAAAAGTCTTTGGATTTTAAAAATTCTTTGATTCTATTATAATTGTTCACGTTGGACGAATGACTCCATTTTTCTGGGGCACTTTTGTAAAAGAGTAGTAGTATTGATCACATGACAAGGAAGCTTGGGAAATGAGACCCACAGTGCTCTCCGGTCCTTCCTTTCAGTCGGTAAAATGCATTTGCGAGTCATCGTCAGCCCACCTCGGCTCTGGGAAGTTAGAGGAATTCTTTTTTTCACCTGCTGAAATCCAGGCTCTCAGCTTACTAGTGTTAGAGTCGAGGCCAGCTGCCTCCTCGACCTCTGTAGATGGGAGCTGTGTTGCTGAGCTCTGTTTGGAAACTAGAGCACTTCCAGGGTTAAGTCAGGTCTCAGGAACGGTTCTTGGCCTCTAATAGTCCCATTCTTACTCACTGCCAGTTTTTCAGAACTTGGGTAGAAATCTCACGACCAGATTATCAGGGAAGGCGAGAGCCCTGTGGAACGGAAGCTGTCATTCACTTTTTGAGTGACTCAGCGTCTCACCACATCTTAAGTCTTTCGTCCCGTTTGCCAAACCATGAGAAAGTTTGGTCTTTTTAGCCGAACGCGTTATACGGAAGGTATGGTCAATTATTTGCTTAAAACAAAGATTTGTGATGGAAAGGAAAAGTTACCATTAGCTCGGTACATTTTTATTCGATTACTTAGAAATCTACGTTGGGGTTTAGATGTCCAGCCTTCTTCATTGGGTGAGGGCCCACCAAAGGCTTTCCCTGTTGGGGGCGTGGTTTGGGATTTATTGTTTTCCTCGCCCCTTTATGGGCGGTGTCTGGGAGGGGGCTAGATTATCCTAGCTCCCGCCCCAGGGGTCCCAGTTCACTTCCTCTCTGCCCCACCAGAGTGCTGTTGACGGTTGAGAAGGTCAATTTGGGTCTGGAGGGAGCGCAACTGTACCTGGAGCCAGCAGCAGCAGCAGCAGCAGCAGCAGCAGCAGCAGCAGCAGCAGCAGCAGCAGCAGCAGCAGAGAGCCACAAGGGGGCGACTGTGAGCTTTTGGATACTGCGTAGACTCTATGGAGATTGATGTCTGGGGATGCGACCAGAAGCTTGGGGAGAGGTAAACCTTCAAGACTGGGACCCTCGGGCTGGGGGAGAGGCGTGATGGGGCTGCCTTCTCAGGACAGGAGTAACTGGGCCTTGGCCTGTAAACCAGAGGGCAGAGGACCGACTTGGACGGCTCAGCCCCTGCACAAACTGTATGTGCAAGTGCCACCTCTGGAGCTTGAGAGGCTCAGAACACAGTCCTCCGCGATGTCCCCGTGAAGTGAGCAAGCCCCCTAACCACAGGGCTAATCAGATCTCCATCTTCTCACCCCTGCCTCTCCCTGCAGGCAGCTCTCCCCCAGGGCCGGTCCCCGAGGGTGTGATCCGCATTTACAGCATGAGGTTCTGTCCTTACTCGCACAGGGCTCGCCTGGTCCTCAAGGCCAAAGGCATCAGGTGAGAAACCGAGGGAGGCGAAGCGCTCCCTGAGTACGTTGCTCGCCTCTCATCTCCAGGGCCTTATTTAAAGTCTCAGGCTCTTAGAAGGGCCCCTCTTCCCTTTCTTCTGAGGCCGAGTGTCTCCAAGGACTGATTTTGTGTAGGCTTTACTGAAATGCCAAGTTCTTTTCCAAATCAGATTTTCACGAACTGTTAGACAAGGCAGCCTAAACTGAATGATGCTGTTGGTGAACTGGTCCCCCCCACCCGCTGTTGGTTTAGGAAGAGCACAGACAAGCTCACGGAGGCCTGCTAACTGCGCCAACGTAGCCTTACCGCTGTTCTTTTTCCTCGTGTCTAACATTTCCTAGTTTGTCCCAACTTTCGACCACCTCTCTCCCTCTCCCCCACCCCATGGCAGCCATTCACAAAAGGAGACGAGAATCTGCCTCGTTTGGGGTACTAGAAGACAGCCTGGCACTCAGTAGGTACTCAACATGTTTGTTGGGGGGTAGAGTTAGTAGGTGTACTTGCTTAGCATGTCACATGCCCAGTGACCACATGAAACCAAGTGTGGAGGAACATCCCTATGATCTCAGAACTTGGGAGGTCGAGGCAGGAGGAGCAGATGTTCAAGAATGCTCTTGCTTACATGCCAAGTTCCAGGTTAGCCTTGGCCACATAAGACCCTGCCTCACACACAGAACTCAAATGTCACTCCAGCCTCTGGCTCAGGGCTTGGAAAGCCTATTATAGGAGTTGGCATTAGACTTTCAGTTCATGTCATGAGTAGAGAGACCAATATGGAGAGCTGTTAGCACTGCATAGATGCATATGTATAACATATATTTCCAGATTATTCCCACTGGCGCAAATCTATTCAGCCCCATGGTTACCTGTCCTTTTTGTCTGTTTTTAGAAAAATGTGAGCAACACAGTGTGTTGCTCATGTGGGGACACACTGGTAGCTTAGGAACCAAGGCAACTATTTCTGGGATTTGTTGCTTGCTGGTTTGGAGTCAGGATCTGATGTAGCTTAGGCTGACTACCAGTCACTGTGTATCTGAACTTGTGGCCCTCTGACTCGCCGTCCACCGTGTTGGATTTGCAACAGTGTCACCGTGCTGTGTGATGTTGGGGTCGGAATCCAGGGCTTCCTGTAGCTGGGCAAGCACTTTATCACCTAAGCCACAGGCCTGGACCCATAACTGCTCTTCCAGAGTGAAGTTTCTCAACCTTAGCACTCCTGACTGGCATTTGCTGGGGAGAGGACAGGGGACTGCCCTGGGCATTCCGGGTTATTTGTCAGTACCCCACCTATACCCATCAGGATGGTACCCCACTCGCAGGGTGAAGATCACAGTGTCCTTAGATGTTGATATACACTCTTTGCATGAGGGAAGAGGTAAAATAATCTTGTTGGGAATTCCCGCCTTGAAGAACATGACCATTTGTTTCCTTTAATCTTTTCAAACGTGTTTGTGCCTCTGGTAACTTGACAGAGGACTGGAAAGTGATTGCGTGCTAGTTAATGTACTACATCTCTCCCAAACACATGTGTTGGTCACTGTTTTAGCATTACAGTGACACCAAGAGATGGGTACAGGTATTACCTCCTTACCATTATGGACACTGAGCACAGAGAGAAGGAATTGACTAAGATCTCAGGTTGACCATACAAGCTGGATGTGGGGTTTGTGACCTTAACTGGTAAAGTTCACTAATGTCTGTTGTAACCTGTAAACACACATTTGCGCTTCTGTGGTTGCTAATGTTTTGGATTTAGACAGGGTCTCACTGTGTAGCCCAGATTGCTCTCCAGCATACAGTCCTCCTGCCTCTGCCTGGGTCCCCTGAGTTTGTGTCCCCAGGGTTTCATCTCTCAGGGATGTGGCCAACGCGTATGGAGTCAGTCGCCTCCACAAACTTCCCTTACCAAACAGCTCTAAGCATGAACGCCACAGCTGTTTGTTTTCGAGGCGAGCGGCTTCCTGTGTGCGTCTCATTTCTAGTCTTTCTTTTCCTTTCCTTCTTTTAAGGTATGAAGTTATCAACATTAACCTGAAGAACAAGCCTGAGTGGTACTTTACAAAACACCCTTTTGGCCAGATCCCTGTCCTGGAGAACAGCCAGGGTCAACTTATCTATGAATCCGTCATCGCTTGTGAGTACCTGGATGACCTCTACCCAGGAAGGAAGCTGTTTCCATTCGACCCTTATGAACGAGCTCGCCAAAAGATGTTACTGGAACTATTCTGTAAGGTAATTTTACTTCGCATTTCCCCAACTTCAGTCCATTCTAGAGTCACTCATGGCATAGTTTCAACCATGAGCCTCTGAAGAATAACTCACAGGGGGTGAGAGTCAGGTGTGATTACTGACATTCATAGTGGAAGGCAGAAATTCGCGTGGCTAGAAATGGATGTATTGAAACGCTGAAACTAACAATCCTTTCACAGGAGCACTTCTCAAGCATGTGTGTGGCATGTGCATACTCGAACACACACACACAAGCATACATGAACATGCAAAATAAATAAATACATGAATAAATAAATGTTTTAAAAAATAAGAAGCAGGCCGGGCGTTGGTGGAGCACTCGGGAGGCAGAGGTAGGCGGATCTCTGTGAGTTCGAGACCAGCCTGGACTACCAAGTGAGTTCCAGGACAGCCTCCAAAGCCACAGAGAAACCCTGTCTCGAAAAACCAAAAAAAAAAAAAAAAAAAAAATAAGAAGCAGGGTGAGTGAGGAAGACATGCAGTGCCGACATCTGGCCTACCTGGCCTACACACACACACACACACACACACACACACTCACACACACACACGGGTGCACACACACGTGTGCTCACATACACACACGCACACATACACACATTCACACACACATGTGCTCACATACACACATACACACGAGTTATGTACTCAACTTAATGCCATTAATAGCACTAATTACACTATTAATTAATGACATATCTTGAACATTCAGGATATTCCAAACCTTCTGTAACTATTGATTCCCTCCCTTGCCTGCCCTGGGAGGGGGTACTGTTACTGGAACCATTTTTCAGACAGGAACACTGAGACTTGAAGAGGCTAAATGACTGCCTCCCGAGAGTGTACAGCGTGGGACTAGGTGATTAAGCAGGGGGCACTGAGAACCCTGCTAAAGCCCTCTCGGCTTGATCAACTGCTGTGAGAAGTGGATCTTGGAAGCATGGAGCTCTTGGGAGCCCCTGGCCAAGGACGGGGACATTCGCATGTGGCCAACTCCCCCTGTGCCGGAGCTGGGAAGCGTCAGTGCCTTTCAGGACGGTTCTCACAAACACCTCCACTAAGAACCTGTGTCCTCTGACTAGGTCCCTCACTTAGCCAAGGAATGTCTGGTAGCGCTGAGATGCGGGAGAGAGTGTATGGATCTGAAGACTGCCCTGCGTCAGGAGTTCCGCAACCTGGAAGAGGTACAGGGGAGCATCTTCCCATCAGAGGCATGGACCAAGCCATGTGCAGGGTCTCTGACCTAGATACCCTGGCGTCACCTGGTTGCTGGCTTTCCGCCGGGCTTTCATGTGGTTCCCTTTCTTTCTCGTCGTCTGACTGTAACCTGCACCTGCTTGCATCCCTGACCTGTTTGGAGTTGTTGTTGAAAAGATGTTAATGATGAACAATGAATTCGTCCTTTCCCAGCTTTGTGTTGTCCCCTGAGCTTCTCCGCATGGTTTCTGCCGATGAGGCTGAGGTATGGGCTGGCGGCTGTGTGGGACCTGACTGCTGAAGGCTTGTCTAATGATCGTTTTTATTCTCTCACATTACGAAGCCGGAGGAAGGGAGTCCAGGGCTGTCTCCATGCTTCCTCATGAAGTTATCAGGGACTGAGGCGCATCTTTCTGTTCTGTCACATTTAGTGCGAGCTTTTCATCTTTACAAACAGGATGGCTGCTGGGTCTTCTGGCACCCCTTCCTCTGAGGCTCTAGCGAAGAGAATGGGGGAGAAAAGATGTCCAGAGGTTTCATGACAGTGAGTGTGCACAGGTGGCCTCGTAGTGGCTGCAGCTGAGGGCGCATCCTGTCAGAACCCCAGGGAGAGGCCGGTACAGAAGCCTGAGTACTAACAGCAGGTATGCAGAGTGCTAGGCGGGAGACACGCGGAACAGCGAGCTGTTGTGTGTGAGAGAGCAGAGAGTCAGGGTGGGAGGCAGACCACAGACGGAAGTCCCCCAACCAAGGAATTCCTTCTTGATCCCGAAGTCAATGTGGAGTAACTAGGTAGCAGTGCTAATAGAAAAGAATATATAATATAGCCAGCAGGGTGGTGGCGATGCGTATGTCACAACACTCCCTGAAAAAATAAAAAATAAAGAAAAAGAACCAAAACCCCAGTTTATAACATTTGCCATTTCAGAGCGGAGCACCCTCCCAGCAGGCTGGTTTTCAGGTGCTGTCTCTGAGCCCCCTTGGGATGAGGTGTGGCAGCTCTAGCGCCTCCCTGAGCAACACTTCTCACCTGGTCTTCTCAGGGCCTCAGAGCCTTGGCTCTGGTAGTGTCACCCATGCACGGAAGGGCGGATAAGTGTTCAGCTTTGTTTCGGTGGATTTGGGTGGGAGTTTTGTCTCACAGTGTTAGGAAGAACACGAGATGTCAGAAGCTCAAAGTCTAAGAACAGTTCCTCCAAATAGTAATATACAGACTCCAGGGCCTCGGGCACACAGTCCAGGGAATCTAGGGAAATTAAAATTTACCAGATAATCTGACAGAAAAGCCCCTTAATTCACAGGGACATTTTTCTTCTGTTTTTGTGTTGTTTTGGTTTTGGTTTTGTTTGTTTGTTTTTGATAGAGTCTTGCTGTGTAGCCCTGACTGTCATGGAACTCATCATATAGACCAGGCTGCCCTTGAACTCACAGAAATCTGTCTTCCTTTGTCTCCTGCATGCTGGGATTAAAGGCATGGATCACCACATCCTTCATGTTGCTTTTATGAGCAGGATTTTGTGTGGGCTAAAACGTTATTAACATACATGGTCTTTCTGGGAGACAAATAAGCTGACATCTCTCTGCCTCTCTCTCTCTCTCTCTCTGTGTGTGTGTGTGTGTGTGTGTATGGTGTGTGTGTGAGTGTGTGTGTATGGTGTGTGTGTGTGTGTGTGTCTTTTTAGTGTATGGGGTTTTGTGGGGCTATGGATTACCACACACTTAAAGTGGGTTTTCTAATTAAAATGTTTTTAGCATTTTACATACCTACCCCAGTTCCCCCTCCAGCCCCTCTGCCGCCTACCTTCCCCCATCCCATCTCCCATCCACTCCTCAGGTTAAGGTCTCCCTTGGGGAGTCAACAGTGTCTGGCATACCAAGTTCAGGCCTGACCGATTCCCCGCCCCTCTGTATCAAGGCTGAGCAAGGCATCCCACCATCGGGAATGGGCTCCAAAAGCCCATGCGCCCAGGATAAGTCCTGGTCTCACTGCCAGCTGACACCCCACAACAGATCAAGCCATATAACTGTCACCCACAGTCGGAGGGCCTGCTTTGGTCCCATGCAGGTTCCCCAGCTCAGTCCACAGTCTGTGAGCTCCCAATAGCTTGGGTCGGCTCTCTCTGTGGTTTTCCCAGTCATGACCTTGACCTCTCCTTGCTCATATGACCCCTCTTCCCTCTCTTCAACTGAACTCCAGGACCTCAGCCCAGTGCTTGACTAGGGGTCACGGCAACGGCTTCCATCAGTTCCTGGATGCAGTAGGTTCTATGACGACAATTAGGGCTGTCACTAATCTGATTGCAGGGGAGGGCCAGTTCAGGCCCCCTCTCCACTATTGCTAGGAGTCTTAGCTGGGGTCATCCTTGTGAATTCCTGAGAATTTCCCTAGCACTAGGTTTCTCCCTAACCCCATAATGGCTCCCTCTATCGAGATATGTCTTTCATTGTTCGTCCCCTCTGTCCCTCCCCTACCTTGGCCACCTCCATCCATCGTATTCCCATCCCCCACGCCTCCCTTGTACCTCCCTTCCCAGGTAACCCAGGAGATCTCAACTATTTCCCCTTCCTGGGGCCATCCATGTGTGTCCCTCTTAGGGTCCTCCTTGTTACCCAGCTTCTCTGGGACTGGATTGTGGCCTGGTTGTCCTTCGCTTTACGTCTGATATCCACTTATGAGTGACTACATACAGTATTTGTCTTTCTGGGCCTGGGTTACCTCACTCAGGATGTTCTTTTTCCTAGTTCCATCCATTTGCCTGCATATTCAAGATGTCATTGTTTCTTACTGCTGGGTAGTACTCCCTTGTGTAATGTGTAATGTACCACATTTTCTTGATCCATTCTGCAGTTGAGGGCCATCTAGGTTGTTTCCAGGTTCTGGCCATTACGAATGATGCTGTTATGAACACAGCTGAGCAAATGCCCTTGTGGTGTGAGTGTGCATCCTTTGGGTACACTCCCAGTAGTGGTATCGCTGGTATACGTGCGTGTGTGCGTGTGTGCGTGTGTGTGTGTGTGCGTGTGTGTGTGTGCGTGTGTGTGTGTGCGTGTGTGTGTGTGCGTGCGTGTGTGTGCGTGTGCGTGTGTGTGCGTGTGCGCGTGTGTGCGTGTGTGTGTGTGTGTGTGTGTGTGTGTGTGCGTATGGGGTCTGGGTGGGCTTATGCCACAGTGGATGCCTGGAGGCTGGAGGATAGCCTCAGTGCTGGTCCTTGCTTCCCACCTCTCTTGAAACAGAGCTTATCTTTGGCTGTTCCCTGCTGTGTACGCCCCATCTCCCACCTCACCATAAGAGCGTTGTTGTTATGGACGCACGCTAACCACCTCTGCGTGGTCCTGAGGTTTGAACTCAGCTTCTCACATTTGTACCTACTGAGCCATCTCCCCAGTCCAAGGCGAAACCTTTCATGTTACAGCTCAGCAAGAAACCCAGCTTGCATGTTTGTGGCCTTAAGCTCCAGGGGATGGTTTCCTTCTGAAATGCGACCTTTCGATTTCTTTAAAAAGTCAAGTTTCCTGAGCAAGGTGGCTCTGCTTTCTGGCTCTGCTCGGTTCCTTCCCAGATATTATCAGATTTGATGGAGAGTGGGGCTGAAACAGCTGGAACGAGGACCTGACCCTGCATCTTCCCATGCCATGAGGCACTTTATGGTTCAGCTTCTTGATGTTTATTGGCTTGCTTTGTATTCCTGTTGTTTGTATTCCTGTGCAGAGTTTCCCACAGGGCCAAATCACACACCTTGTGTGCAATTTGCCCGAGGACTGAATCTGCTCACATACTGTATGTACTATTCAGACGCACCCATGGCTTATTGAGTTTAAATTTCACCCATAATCTTAGCTCCTTTCTTTCCTCCATTCTCCCCTCTCTCTCCCTTCCACCTCTTCTACATGTTTTTTTTTCCAAATAGGGTCTCACTGTGTAGCCTAGACTGACCACAAGCTCTTCATCCCCCTGCCTCAGCTTCTTCAGTTCTGGTGTTAAAGGCCTGTTGTCTCATGTTTAATTTGCATTTTCTTCTTTACAAACAAAAAGACATTTTGGCCCGTTTGTTTGTGTTGCTTGGTTAAGTTTGGTGTCTTGTAACACTTGTTCAAGGATGCTGTCCGTCCCCACTCTAAGATCATACTAGCCTTTCTTGTTCATTTGTGCATTTCCAGCTAAAGACTTTCTCACCTTTGAAGCTTATTTGACGATTTTTGAGACACATTTTGGTTTTCTTTTGACCCATCTTATCTTGTGCATATGGAAGGGCAGCATTTTAACAGGGGCGATATTTCCTGTTGAGCTTTCTTCCATTGCTTTCTGGCACAGAACACCCTCTGCCTCGTTAGAGAGGTGAAGGGCGCTCATTAGTATTGCTTTACAAAAATTTGGTCAGTTGTTACCTACCTTTTACAAAATATATTTTGAATAACAGAATCCAGCCCATTACAAGGATTGCAGCCGAGGACTTTTCAGAGTGTCCCATCCATCCCCAAATGTTGTCAAGCTGTATTTTTGTATCTCCATAGAATACCTTGATCCCAATTGCCAGACAGGTGGAGGGGCGGGTCCTGTCCGAGTTCTACTTCTCAGCCTGTTCCTGACAGAGCTGTGGTTCTTTTTATAGGAGCCCTGGTCACTGTATTGTGAGCTCAGTCTTGGCTGTCCGGTTTGTGTGTGACAAGGACCTGAAATTTGAAATCTTGAAGTCTTTTTTTCTGTCACAGAGCCGAGTGCTTTGCATGTGCGTGCGTGTGCGTGTGCGTGTGCGTGTGTGTGTGTGTGTGTGTGTGTGTGTGTGTGTGTGTGTGACTTTCAACTCTTAAGAATTCTTCCCTCCTGCATCAAGTACAGGCAACCACTGGAATACACAGCACTGCCTGAGAATTGGAGACCAAGGATTCCCTGTTGATGGGCTAAGTGATGGCAGTGTGACTCAGGTGGTCTCGCGAGGGGTTAAAGACCTTCTACTGGGCTTTTTAGAAGGCCTGGTCTGAAGAAGTCTGGGATTAACTTTTTAAAATCGCTCTTCTGCTACTAAAATTGGGGTGGTACGCGGTCCAAAACAGTAAGTTCTCTGGTTCTGTAACACTTCTTTCTTAAAAGCCTTGAAGATTTTTTTTTTCTCCTCTTTAACTTGGAGAGGGAGCCCTGGCCACTGCGATTCAACACCGATGACCACAAGGGGGAGCCCCACACACTTCTTCCACTTGTGTTCCCTGCTGACATTCCTCCTTTATTCCTCTAGGGGGAGCCCGGGAGCTCTCTGGTTCCTGGGTGGAAATTAGGCATCTTCCCCGAAACAAACAGCCCTCCCCTGCTGCTGTCACTCACCAGCCACTCACGTTTCCAGTCTTCCTTTTCAGTGACTGGGGAAAGAGAACGAATTTTGTATTGCTATTTAAATTTTTTAACTTATTTATAATTTTGGTCATCATTGTGTATACATATAAAGTGTGTGTGTGTGTGTGTGTGTGTGTGTGTGTGTGTGTGTGTGTGTGTGTGTGTGTGTGGTAGCAGGAACACATGTGGAGGTCAGAGGATAACTTCGGACATTGATTCTCACCTCCTCTTTGGCTGAGGCAAGGGTCTCTGTTGGTTTTCCTCTGCTTAGTCAGGGTGTCTCCCCACAAGCTTCCCCGGAGTGAGCGCAGGGGTTACAGAGGTCTTGTTACTCTATCTGGCTTTGACTGTTCTTGTTTATATGTTTATTTTTACCAGGGTTTTTAGGGTTTGAACTCATTTCACATTTATCCATTGGTCCATCTCTCCAACCTCAGAACATTTTGAAGTAGATTCTTTTGAACTCTGCAAACACCAAATTCCCCTTTGCAGGATCTCCCTACCACAGTACCTGAGATTCTAAGAATGAAGCAGTGTCTGAGAGGTACCAGATTAGCATCTCAGGGAGCGAGCACCCTATGGGGGGGCGGGGCCAGGGTGCCCTGTGTCACCTGGAAGCATCTATAAAGAGATCCATGGTGAGGGACGTTTTAGACTTTCGCTGTACACAGTGACAGGGGGCATCTTAGGAGGAAGGGCTTATGACCGTGGCGGCAGAAGCAGTTTGCAGCTGTGGGAGCAAAAACGTAAGGCTGCCTGCTCACACCTGTGGACCAGGAAGCAGCGACTAGACAGGAAGCTAGCCCAGACTACTAAGAATTGGGGGTGGTCTTCAGCTGCTCTGAACACCAAGGCAGTTTAGAGTCTTCTGCTTTGTTCTTCCCCGCTCTGTCTTAGTTACTTTCTGTTGCTGTGATAAAACATCATGACCCAGGAAACTTGGAAGGGCTTATCTGGTGCTTGCAGCCCGTGGCCAGGGTGGTAGGGAGCATGGCAACAAGGCAGGCAGGCGTGGCGCTGGAGCGGCAGCTGGGAGCTCACATCTCAGTCCACAAACAGGAAGCAGAGAGAGCTAACTGGAAATGGTCGGAGGTTTTTGGTCTCAAAACTCACCCCTGTGACACATGTCCAGCAAGACACCACCTCCTAGTCACCAGGTATTCGGGCATGTGCCCATGGAGCCCTTCTCGCTCAAAGACCATGCCTTCCAAGCCAGGTCTTACTAGTCCATGACTGAAACGAGTCACCATTGTTCAGACACTTTTGACATAGTACCCTGTAAAGAGAAGCCTTCCCGCCAGCCTGGTTCCAGAGCCGCATCAGTCCCAAATAAACACACAGGAGGCTATATTAATTATGAAGCTGTTGCCCTTGCTTGTTTCTTACTGGCTAGCTCTGACTTAAGTATTTACCCCATAATTGTTAATCTAAGTATTTCTCTTACCGGAGAAATTTCTGGGCTTCCTACCCCATGGTGGTTACATCTCGACTTCCTGTGTTTCTCCTACCCAGAGTCCTCCTGGACTCCTAGTCCCACCTATCTTGGTTCCCTATTGGCCAGCAGTGCTTTATTGACATATACACAGGACTTCCCCCATCATCTCCTCTTTTCTGTCTATACAAAAAGAAAGGGTTTATTTGGGACTGATGCGGCTCTGGAACCAGGCTGGCAGGAAGGCTTCTCTTTACAGTACCCTCCTGCTAGCTTCTTGATGCCACCTAATGCTTTTTCCAGGCTTTCAGGACAATGGTGAGGAACCAACGTGTGAATATGAAGACTTAAACGTTAGGGTCATGAGGTCTGCCTTCCCTTCCGAGAAGGGGAGGCAGATAGGGGAACTCATCGATGCTCTGTCAGGGTGATGATTTTCCTGTGGAGCCTCCAGGGGCTACACTGCTCACACAAGCTTGCCGCTTCTCACTGACACCCCCCCCCCAAGGTACTCTGAGGTGGCCACAAGTATCACCATCTGCTTAAGATGACAACGCTGTGGCTGGCGGGAGGAGGGAGGTGAGTCGTCCGGGGTTGCAAGCTGCATGAGAGGTAAGGCTCCGCCCACTGAGCAGATCTTTAGCACAAAGCCACAACCACGCCACAGCTAAGAGAGCAGGCACGATTGGAGTGTGCCTGGCTTTGGAGAGAGCAGGCACGATTGGAGTGTGCCTGGCTTTGGGTGCCGTTTCTACTCAGTGACGTCTACCTTGAGTGTCTTGAAGTAGGGTCCTCACTGGCTTGGTGCTCGCTGATTCAGTTAGGGACTCTGGGAGATCCACCTGTCTCCACCTCCTCAACACTGCTGGGAACATGTGTGCGCCTCCACGCCAGCCTTTTCTATGTGGCTTCTGAGGGCCAGGTTTCCCTCCTGAGGCTTGCTTGGCGAGCCCTTTACCTTCTGAGCCCTGAATTTACAGTTTGACTCTTTTGTAAAGTCCTGTCCTTCAGCAGGGTCTCCAAACGGCTTCTTTCCACACCTCGGCCGGCCTGGCAGTCTCCACTGGCAGCAGGGGGGAGGTGCTGATCTGGTTGTAGGCTGTGTAGGTCGGTGTGAGCAGTGGGGTTAACTGGGAGCTGTTCTCTTCAGGACAATGTGGTTCAGCAGTTACCACCTTTGCACTGAGAAAACTTCAGGCGCTTTCTTGTTGCTGGCTGGCTATGGTCTGTTTTCCCTACAGTCCACACATGTGGGTTGATTTATCCCTTTTGAGAGAGAACGTTTTTTTATCTTATTGTAGAATGTTGATGATGTTGAATCGCATGGAGTGTGAAGTATTTAAATAAAAGAAGAAAGTATGGTAAAGACAACGCTGGGGTAAAAGGGAAGCCACTGAACAGCCTTAGCTGTGAACCCATGAAGAAGGCAGAGGACCAGTCCCCTTTAGTATAAAGAGTGCATGGGAGATGAGGTCACAACTACAGCGAATGGGGTCTCTAATGCTGGTTTTTAGCAAAAGGCCCAGACTTTTCACGTCCCTGGAGGATGGGCAATGCTGGCCTAAGGCACAGCTTCCCAGCTCCAAGCTGAGATGATCTGGAGACAGCCTAGGACTTGGAGGCTGGACCACTGCTGCCTGGGTTGCTCTTTCCAAATTCTCCGGTCAAATGAGCCATGTTGTTTGCCCAGTGTTGAAGGGAGACAGAGAACAGGATGTGGCCAAGACTGGCCCTAGAGGAGTTAGGGAAACTCTGGTGGAGGGACCCCGTCTTGAAAAACTAAAAAAAAGAGAAGGAATAAAAAGAAAACAGAACACTGGCAAGCTAGCTCTCCTTCCTTGTAATTAAGCTGGCGTTTTTTTATTTAACATCCGTAAACATGTCAACAAATGTGTTAATGAACTGCTATTGTTCTGTGTACACTTCTAGGTTCTTGAATATCAGAACATCACGTTCTTTGGTGGAGACCGTATATCCATGATTGATTACCTCTTCTGGCCCTGGTTTGAGCGTCTGGATGTATATGGACTATCTGAGTAAGACACTGGACTGTGTGATTGCAAATCTACTGAGGGCCAGCTGTTGAAATGCTCTGGGTACCACCAACTCCCCTGTGGACTGTCTCAGGATGTTTGTGTAACAAAAATCAGGGCTGGTAGCCACTCATGCATGCTTCCTTGTCCAAAATGAACCTGTTCCCTTCCCCCACAAAGGACAGGCTCACATCTGACCTTCATCTCTGTGGATAAGACTCTGTGTGCGACAGTGCTTCAGAGCCCACTTCCCCTGTGTATTCACAGGCAGGCAAGATAACCCGTAGCTGCCTCCACAACCACACACCTGGTCCTTCTGAGTCACAGCACAGCCCCATCTCACATTCTCCCAACAGGAATGCCTTTTAAAACCCATAGGTTTCTAAAGCAATGCATGCATAATCTTCATATAAACAAATGGCAACCACATATCATGGAAGCATCACGCTTTAAAAAAAAACTATGTTTAAAGTGTGGCAGGGCTATTTAAAACGTTGTCACCTCAAAGCTCAGAGGTGACACTGTGAACTGTAACCAACTCAGATGTCTGCCAGCCACATTAGGCATGCCGGACACTTCTAGGATTTGAAAAGTAATTCTTTAGGTTAGACCTAGGGTAGCTGGATACTTAAACACACAGGCAAATTATAAAAACCCATTTTCCTCCCAGGCAAAGTGGTGAACCCCAGATTATAGCTCCTACCTACCAGCTCTCTTTTCTCAGCTTATCATCCTGCAGACCCTAGACCCGACTTCCCCTGTCTGTCTTTGAAAAGGCCCATACTTCAAGGTTTCGTGATTATTGTATTTATCGTAAAAGTGTTTGGGAAACTGCTCTCCTTTTCAAAGTCCCAAAAGTAAAATCTGCAAATGGCCTAAGACTGTTAGTTTGAGAGAGCATCAGTCAGTCAGTCAGCAATGAATCGAAGACCCTTGATCCCCGCTCACAAGCATTCCACGAGCTTCCCAGAAGCCTCTGTAACAATGCCAGCAGATGGACACACAGCTCCAAGTAAGCTTTTCCGCAGCGAAGACAATGCTTCCTGGACAGTAGCTAAGCTTACCGTATTTCCCAAATCTACAAAGTCATAAACGCCCCCTTGCCAACCCTCTCCCTTGTCTGTCTTGCAGCTGTGTGAGTCACACCCCGATGCTGCGGCTCTGGATATCCACCATGAAGCAGGACCCCACAGTCTGTGCCCTGCTCACCGACAAGAACATCTTCCTAGGCTTTCTGCATCTCTATTTTCAGAACAACCCTTGTGCCTTTGATTTCGGCCTGTGCGCCCCAGCCATTCGGTGACTGCTGCGGCCGCCAGGATTCTCAGCCTATGTGACTCTGCATCCCAGCTGCCTGGGGGACCAATGCATTTCTGTTCTGTTCTTTTTGGAGGTCTTTAATAAACATGGAAATGTAAAATATAGTCTAATCATCGTGTCTGACTCCTGTGGCCTGTAGCTCCTAATGATGTTCTGCCATGGAAGTCCAATTGGGAACTAGAGCAACTCCTGGCCCCTTGACCTTTGCAACTCTCCAAAAACCTCTCTGGTGAGAAGAAACTGTGAGGGGTGGGGAAGAAGGAGTGGAAAGAGGAGAAAGAGGAAAGACAAAACCAACCTTACATACTCCACGTTGAAACACCATTCATTCTGTTCGCAGAGAAACACCGCTGCCCACATGGGAAGGCGTGCGTGTCATTCCTGTTCAAACTTTGGCCACAGGCCTGGGAGACACCCAAGGGTCTTGTGACTGGAAAGAATTCCAAAGCAGGAAATGAAA